ACTGAACCAGGGCTAATTAGGACTAAACTATGGCTAACAAAACTGAAGTGTCTTTATGCTACTGCAATCCCCAACCTGTATGAAGTGTTTAATGTGAGGTTAAGAGGTACCAGGACTACGCTACTGTAGTTAAACTAGGGCTAAACCAGGCCTAAACCTGGAATCAGCCAGGCTTAAACCTAGACTAAATCAGGATTTAACTGCAGTGGCTAAACCAGTGCTAAACTATGGCTAAACAGGGAGGGTTAAGACAGGGTATAATATCTTTGTTACTTATGTAATAATAATAATAACACTTATAGTGGGTTAGGTTTTCCATTTATCCACTATTAAATACATATGGTGGTTTTGCACATTTGTATTTAGAATGTGAGTTTGTGTGGGGGCAGTCTTGACCATAGATAAATGAGTCACTTAACTCTCTACTGTTGCATTTTACGTCTTCATTTTATTTATTTTTATTTTTTTACTTTAAGCAAAACATGCAAGTGGAGAATGATTGAGAGAAATTGAAATACAAAAGCATTTTCAACTGTTAAGGCTCTTATTGCAAAAACTTTGCAAAATTGCTGTATCATGTTTAGCAGTGCATCCTTGCATAACAGGTGTGTATGCCCTGCCAGTTGTAGGCCTTATAGAGCCATATAAACATAGGTGTTTCGTATGACTCATTTTCTTACTGTACATGTTCAGATGCAGTCACCGTCCTGTCCCTTAACTGTGAGAAGATCCTAATCCTTCGATTCCCAGACACACCCAGAGGCCAAGGCAGAGGAACCATCCAATCAAATCACTGTTTACCCCCCATGCAAATTCAGCCTCCACCCCTTCTCGAAACCAGCTGTACTGTCATGATTTTTGAACGTAACGGTTTTGAAGTTCCCAGAATTAGATGCAACTTTGAATTAAACCTGTCCACATTAATTATTTACGGAGGTCTACCTGTCTTGTTTTTTTTTTTTTTAAATAGCCATATTGACAAATTTAAAATGTCAATATGGCTCTATGCAGCAAAAGCAGAAAAAAAGCCACTGTACCAAGTTCACTTTGAACAGTTTGCAAAGGCCCAGTTTATAAGTGCTTTTCATTACTCTCAAAGACCAGTTTTGCAGTGACTGTAAAGCTAATGACAACTAGCATGCTAATGCACACTTCCTGATTTATTAACAGTATAAATTTTAGCTCAAATATTACTGGAGCATAGAATGTTGTGTTGACATTTGAAACCCAACAATATGTTTTACAGTTTTACAGTGTACTTGGGCACCTGCATGAGTTTTTATTGACAGTATTCACCTGTATTCAAAAATCGCATGTTTCAACTGTCAACACAGCCTCTGTACTGTTTCTCACTACTATGTTTATTTGACACTTTAACATGGTGACCTCAGAAAATACAATACTAAAAGAACCACTCTACAAAAGCAGCTTTACTCACTATACAAATGTCTAACAGGTCAGTAAATGTATAATCTATAGGTAGAAACTGCTCAAATTAAGAGAACTTTTCTGAATTAAACTAGTAATCATAAATAGTAATGTATTGGTGGTTTTACATGTACTCAGAGATGGGATTTTAATTCCCCCTCATATAAATACTATTGGCCTACAGGACATCTACAGGTGTCTTCTGAAACCCAACAATTTCTTTGCTGTGTAGATTCCATATTGTATTTGAATCCACAAACCTGTGTGTCTGCTTGGTAATGACATCACTCATTTCCAAACAAGCTCTACTCAAAACAAATCGTTCAGTCCACTCAACTTTCCTGTAACATTTCTAAAGTTGTGTATTGGTTTTGTTAAAGGTGCAGGCGCCAATGGTTCTATGTTTACAGTAGGAAATGCAGGAGAAGACATGTGTCTCCATTTTGAATCTGTTATGACTCCCATTGTTTACATGTCAATAAACATAATTTATTTGTATTATTCACAATCATAATATTTGTTCAAAATAATAAACTTATTTGACCTAAAATTCTTGTTGTTGCACAGCATGGCATTAACCTTCTCCACCTTGCAATCATTAATATAGCTGTCAAAAATACATACATTTTTCCTGTGAGTGGAACCGCCTCCCCACAGATCTGACCTGTAACCTGGTCTGGTGGCATTCTCTGTTTGTTCCCATGGAGATAGATAGTTTTAATGCAATACTGTGGAATATTTCAGGTAAAAGAACCACATCTCCATGAACACCAAAAATGTTACAGAGTCTATCTTTAACATCAATCTTTTTTTTAATTTTCATTTAAAAATGGATTGGTTTTTCACACCTCCATTGCACAAACTCGTCTGTGGGTCGTTAGTGGCATTATAAGTCTATGTAGAGTATCTTGCTGTGCTAATGCTTAAAGGTGCTAAACACTTTGTCTGCTGCAGCTTTTGAAGTGAATGAGCCATCAGACCTTGTGTTTGGTCCATTATTATGTTTGTCTTGATGTCTGCAGACAGTCCCTTTCACAGTCATTCACAATGTTTTGTAGTGGGTGCTTTAAAAAAAAAAAAAAGACTATCTAAAGAAAAAAAAAAAAATTAACTGTAAAAATAAACACAAATGTTTAGTTTTTTTTTACATTTCATTAGTTAGTATTATTTATTAAACTTAATTTGTTAACTGAAGGTCCAATATAATACAAAATTGACTCTTGTGAACTTTATGCGATGTTGTAATGTTGTTACATCATTAAAAAAAAAAATGTCAGAGCTGTGTTTAGTTTCATTCACACATGTTTAAGTTACCCTGCATTATTAGTCTGTCTACATCTCCAAAGCTTTAAATGCTCTGTTCCACCTTGTGATGTCATCTAGTGGTCATTTTCACATTAACAGCTACCTTTTACCTTTTGTTTAGTGGAGATTGGCAGTTTCAAGGTTGAAATTTACCAAATGACCGTAGCGAAGGTGTATGAAGCTACTCATAGTAAGAATGAAGGTTTTGCAGTATTTTCAAGGTAATTTATTGTCCAATAATCAGGAAATGTATGTTAGCATGCTAGTTGTTAGCATTACAGTTACACCCAAACGTACTTGTCTCTGAGAGTTGTCAAAAGCACTCATAAATAAATTAGGATGATCTGAATACATAAGTGAGGAATAGCTTTGGACCACTGCAAACTGTTTCAAGCAGGCTGCATAAACTCTACCAGAAAAGTTTACATCTTTAAATATGTTATCTCTAATTTCCTTACATCAAAATACATACATTTTTGTAGTGTGGTTCAAACTGCTGACTCAAATGCAATAGTTTCTAGCTAAAATAAACCATTAAAAGTTGTAAAGCTGTGTTTGCCTGGAGGCTCAGAGCAGAGGACAGTTCCCACTCTGCACCGAAACTGACAGTTTATGTTTTGACAGTAAGACAAGGCTCACAGAATGAAGCCATCTGACAGGTTCCACTTTAATAAGACCTGAGGACACTGGCAAACAGCAGCATTAAGTGTGTAAACAAAGAGCTCTCTGAGACAATAAGAGTGGGATCTATTACACCAGATGCCTTGCCAGAAGAGATGAAGACGTACTATATTTTTTAAACTTTAGATTAGAGGTGCATTGTGTAACTTTTTTGGTTGAGAGTCTGTCAAATGCTTTTCTTCATGGAGATGTTATTGTTTTGTTTAGAATGTTTCACAGTATGACATTAAACCTTTCTATCATCACAGAGACCGAATTAGATCAAGTTACAGGTCAGATCTGTGGAGAGGCGACCCCACTCACAGTCAGAATGCTTGTTTTTCTAAGTATTTTTGAGTTATAAAACCACCTGTAACTGGATAAATGTAAGGTCAATATGTTTAATGTCATATTGTAGAACATTGTAAGCAGAGCAATGGCATATTCATAGAAACAAGAAGGTGACACACCCCCAACCTAAAAGTTACACAGTGCACCTTTAACAAATACAATAGACAATCGAAACATTTAGTCAGGAGTTAAGCTTGATCTATAATATGATGATGATATAATTTTAGATTTGATGATTCACAAACAGAATCTTACTGTTCATTGGGATTGGCTTCACAAACTTGCCATATTAATCTTGTGGATTTAAGTACTCTTAACTGACAACAGTCATATCTTTGGGGTTGAATAATGACAACAATAATTTCACTGTTTACTTATGCTAACAGAGAAGACATTTGTGCCAGCTTTTGTTTCAAGTGGATAGGTCCAATTACAGAAATAGTATCCAAAAACAAGTAAAAGCATACACATTTGACAGTTAACGGCCAAATTCTGAGCTGTCCTCCATCTTCATTTTAAACTGCATTGGTGTGTTTTGTCAATATTGTGAATGAGTGAATAGAATGGCTCTGGATGGCTGGATGGCTGCTTACATTAGTATAACCATCTATCCACAATGCCTTGAAACCTGTTGTGAAGTTTTTGTTTTTGTCTGTGATATTTTTAGAAGCGCATGCAGGCTACAGTGCACATTTAAAACAGAAGATTGAAATCTGAACTGCTAAACTAAAACAAGAATCCCATGCATTTCAGATATTTTGTTGTTATTGTTGTTTGCAATGATGCCTAAATAATCGCTGCCTTTACAATTTGCTATGGTTCAAATTGTGATTATGATTTGATTGTGATTAAAGGGCCTGTACACACATCATTTGCATGTATTTATGTTGCCCTCATAAAGACATCTTGTATAAGCAGGTCAAAATAAGTCCTGTATGTATCTGAATACACTTTATTGCTCGATAATCAGGAAGTGCACAATAGCATTTTGTTAACTTAACTGTGAAGTAAACGTCTGGTCTCTGAGAGTTGTGAAAAGCCCTTATAAACTAAATCGCTGTGAATAATTAGATTGCTCGGAATGCATATGGTAAATGAGTGGTAACTCTGGACCACTGCAAAATGTTTAAAATCAACTAGTTCTGTTTTTGAACATCAGGTACAGCACCTTTAACTATGTCTACATTCACGTTTTGACCTAGTTTCAAAAGACTTTCAAAACCATATGAACCCTCCTCTTCTTTGACCTTATCCAGATGGACCTGTCAGAACACCTGTCAGAGCACCTGTTGGGGTACCTGCCGATTCCCAGGACCACGAGCCAAAACGCTGTTCACAAGTCTGTCTGTGAAACCCAAAAACCTGAACGAAACTGGATCGTGGCCAAAGGAAGAGAGCGGTGAATGTAACTGACACAAGCAAAATCACAACAACACATCCTGGGAGAAAGGGGCATGACTAAAAAAAATCACATGGGAACTAAACCAGTCCAACATGGCTGAACCGATTATTGCTCAATGAATGAGTGAATAAACTTAATTACTAATGTTCGTTCTCAGACAGTACAATGAGCTGTCGTCCCTTCCTCAGATGGAGCAAGAGCATGTCTTGTTTTGTTTATATTCTTACACGATAAAATTAAATAAAATGGATTGAACTTAAATGAACTGATACAGAGCCCTGGATTGTGAAGTTACACAACATTAATTTTCAGTTAGCCTAATGTTTAAACCAATGGAGATTTTACCTAGCCTGATCCACCAGCCGGTTTCACTTCATGGAAACAGTTTGACCTTGCAGCATTGGGATTCATTCACTCAGTGGTAGTTGAGGTAGTTTTTTTATTTAACCAATCGCTGCTATTTGGTCGTGGTGTGTGTAATGCACCGGAACGCTCAGTGGTGTCCATGTAATTGCCGGCACACAGAAAACAAAGCTGATTGGCCAATATGCGGTCTATAACTTCTGGGGTTCTTGCAAACCATCTAGTGTATTCTGATTCCTGACCTAGTCATTGGAGAGAAATGAAATTGAGTGGAGGCACAAGGTGGCACCAGCCTGGCTAGATTTTAATATGCTGAATTCTAAACTTCATTCAAAGCATTCATTCAAATGTTTTATGACACTATAGAGTGATAGATGTATTTGCCAGCAGTTTTTAACATATTATTTTTAACATGTATTGGCTTATATATATCTAAGACAGTTTTGCACTGCTGCCACAAACATGTAACCTAAATGATATTGGTCACATGGTCCTTTAAGACAAAACATTTATCGAACTGCACCACAATATCTGCAGACTAAAGGAGTTGTTCCCAATTATAAACCATGCATGATTTCAGAATGAACCCTGCTGTGACGTTGAACTACATTTTTTATTTCTACATGGTTGTCCCCCCACAGAGACATTGTGCATGTTTTAGATCGATGGGAAAACCCCCAAAGAATTAAAAACAGAGATGTCTATTGAAATATAATTTTAATGCTTTGTGATAACTGGTAGAAAAATTAAACTAGATTAATATATGACCTACTTGTCACTACTTGTAGGCCTACTTGTCCCTACACTAGGCGTACTGAAGATTAATATTCTGATAAAGGCTATTTACTAATCTGGATAGGCACACAGTTTTGGTTCAAAGGTCATAACTCTACCATCTGTGTTTTGTCTCTGGATTCAGGGGAGAGATGTCATAAATCACAGAAGATGGAGACATTTGAGAGACCAGTGAGTCTGCAGAGTCCTTTAAAGATGCTAACAGGCATAGCATTGCTAACCTTTACCTGCACTCAGCACTTTAGAAGACGACAACAAACAGGACCTGTGAATGGAACATGTGTCTCACAGATTTGATCTCACTCATCTTTGTTTACCTAAAAAATGTCTATAGACTGCAATAACAGATCATATAAAATAAAAAAAAATAAAACACAATTATACAAATAAATCTGGAAAAATACATCTGAAAAGGACTTGAGCAAATAAAATAAAAACATGTATTATTAGGCTAATATATATATTTCCATAATTTATAAATACTGTCACATTCTGCTGGTGGTGGTATTTTTGTACCATAGCAGACAAACTGGAACACCCATTCTTACTTGAGCAGGTTAGGTAAAGTGTCTCGCTCAACGACACCTGCCAGTGACATAATCTAACTGTCAACCTTCTTCTGGGCTACATCTAAACCATGACTACTTCTTGAAATAACTCAATTAAACTAAACTCAAAAACTGGATAAAAACACTCAAATAAAGATGTCTTCAATCACCAATGTAATTCAATATGGACTAATTTTTTTAAAGGGAAAATGACTAAAAATAACGTTAGTTGTCTGAGTCAATATTTGATTCTGAATTCATAACACACACACACACACACACACACACAATGGGGCAGACTCGAGATTTGCATTGAAATCCAATCTGCCCAGACTGTGAAAATCAAAATGGTAAAATCAACACATTTTAACTCAAAAACTATATCTAGATATTTGCTTTAGCAGTGCATCTCTTTTACTTTCAAAGCATTTCAACCTCCCTCTGCAAATATCCTTTACTTTTTTCCCATCCTAAATCCCCTTGTCCCTTATCCCCTCCCCCACACCCCTCTGCTCATGTGGATTGCATTAGAATTGGTTGAGCCTCTGCTGGAAGTCAGGAGTTACTTATCATGTCTATGGAAGAAAAGTACCTAGAGTATTCGTGTAAACTGTTCCTACTTCCTGGAGCACAACTTTCAGAACCTCTTCCTGCACTGCAAAAAGTTTAATATGACTTAATTACAGAATATTACCTTAATCAGAGTATTTTTGACTAGATTTATTTAGTTTGTCAGTTTTACATAGTTTGACTTGTTTTGGTTTTTATCCCACATTTTTCTAATGTTTTATTCAATGCCAAATTATGTGAAAACCTGTAGAGCCTATGTCTGTCATGTCTGTGTAAATCTTCAGTTGTCCAGGTAGGATCCATAGCGAAAGAAAATTTAATTTTCTGAGCTGGATAAACGTGAAGAGATTTCACCGTTCATCGAAGCATCCTCAGTTCTGGTCAGGTTACTGGAGGGACACTGCCTTATATTATATTTATAGTAGTTTTCCTTATGTAAGTAAAAGAAAATCATTTTATGGTCAAAACTAGATTAACATAATTTATATAATATAAAATAATAATTTAAGCAATTTTTACACAGTGTATCTGACAAACTGTGATTTCATGAAGTTGAAACAAGAGGATCCAATAATAGTCAAAAACCTGGATGTATGGGTGTAAAAACATGAAAATTATACAAATGTAACACAGTATTATTAAGTAAATGGAAACATCGCAAAATATAGAGTTTTCAATTTAGAATGGTAGTCTTCCTCAAATTTATTATTTCTCTGGTCTCAATGTTTTAAGCAAATTTGACTGATAAATATGTAACTTTACTTGAAATAAGAAGTAATAGATTGAAATAACACAACAATAATAAACAAATATCAAATTATCTTATTAGGTAAAGAAATCTAAATTAGTCCAAAGTGTTTTGCATTTAAATCATTTATTAATTTTTGGCAGTGAAATGAATACAGTTTGATTCACCAATACAAATGTCTGTTTAAACAACAGAAATGCAATGAAATGACTTCCACAAGAAGCATAAGAGGCAATGACTCACAGTAAAGCCCAAATCATACAAGATATATCTGTGCATTAAAGGGCCTATATTACACGTCTTTCTGATCTATGTTATAATATTGTTTCCTCATCAAAAACATACCTGGAGAATGAAACAAAACACAATTCCAGGTCTGTTTTTGATGAAGTAACATTATAACATGGCTTAAAGCTCACAAGAGTAAATTTTGTGTAATATAGGACCTTTAACAGATAACACATGATTTTAACATATATTTTAAATGTGTACAAAAGTGTGAATAAGTAGTGCACTGTAAAAAATATCCACATTAATTCATTGCCTGCAAAACTTGACAACATAACTCATAATCTTTTTCACAATATTTAGTCAGTAAGCAAATTATCTGACCAAAAATACTCAAATACCCAAAATTAATATTCTGAATCCAAGTCATTTTAATTAATTTAGCTGTGGCGGTTTTTGTAGTGTAGGAGCCGACCGGCTGTGATACTGGGAAGGCCTTGCATAGTAAAGACAGAACTCCTGCTATTCCTGTACATACAAATGCTAATGGGAGGGCATCTGAGACAAAAAGCTTAAGATGCCTGATCCCCTCTCACCTTTCCCCCTCAAACAAGAAGGTTCCTGCTCCAACCGAGAAGCTAACCCCAAATCAGTCAGCAACTTCATCAAGCCAGCTGATCTTATTTCAATCACAAATGCATGAAAGGCTAGTAGAGCTGTTAGCTATTACATTGCAGAAAAGGAATTTAAATTACATGAATTACTTGAGTTTTTTTGACTACTTTGGATGCACTAATTAGGCCTAGATTATTTCTTTCAGATTAATTCATGTGGCATTGAAATAAGAAACTTTTTCTTATGTCAAGTGCAATTTTCTGACACCACTGGCAGGAAACTTAGTATGAAACAAGAAAATACTAGTACACTTTTTAGATTAATTGACTTTGTTGAATATATTATAGCCTGTTTTTTTACACACATGTATTTGTTGCATTCTTTCAAAATAAGAAAATGAAAAATGCATGTGAGTAATAAGAGTAATTTTGACTTAGATTTTTTGACTTGTTACAACAAAATTCAAACTAAATGTTGGGCCAAAACAAAAACATTAACCTAAACTAGGTAATACTACTTAATTTAACTTGATGTTTCCTTTTTTGCAGTGTAGTTTTGTTTTGCATTGACTCTTGTCCACTGTTTGTGTTTTTAAACTGGTTGGACCATAGAAGACAACAGACAAAGTAGCTAACGCCCTGCACTGCTGTAGCTTTCTCTTTCTTTCTTTCTCTCTCTTGTTTAAACCAAGTCATGCAAACTCACAACATTTACATGATTTCTCCAGCTAAACTCACTGCTCTCTTGATTGGATAATGGGAACTCCATTAGAAATAAATGGAAAAGGTACTTAAGGTATTTAGGCTTTGTAAGTGTAGACAATTAATTTAACTAAATGATTTCAAAGCGGTCTCTGGCTTGTACACTGCAAAAACAGAAAACCTAGAATAATTTTGATTTGAGTAGTTTTTGACTAGTTTAAATATATTTACTTCTTAGATCTTGATAATTCAAAAATTTTAATGCTCTTTTTGTTTTACGCAATAGTATTTACTAATTGACTGATAATTTAGCTTGCAATAATGAACCAATTAACAAAATAAGCCAAATATGCTTAACTTAACTCAAGAAACTTAATTACATTATAATTAAGATTAATATTTTGGATTTCAAGTAATTTTAACTAATTTAGATGTTTCTGATTTTTTGCAGTGTAGCAAGTGAAAAACAGATTCTGCACTCCCTTTGGCTTCCATTAAGATCATGATTTGTGAAATTGCTCAAAATTGCCATGAAAATTTGTCAACAAATAAAACATCTGAATAAATAAAGTGTCCATTTCTGCACTTAAAGTTCAAAGTTCAAATGAAGCAAAAAAACTTCTTCCAACTACACCTCGAAAATGCCTTGGTACGCCTGTCTGAAAACCTTCTCTTTTTCCCTTTTCGTGTTTTGTTTTTGATTGCAGCAAAAATCGCTGCATCAAATGCCTCTTTCAGGTTTTTTTGCGTGAGAGACGAGCATTCAATATAGTCCGTGGCCCTGATTTTTTCCGCCATGTTTTTCGCTCTGGAGTCGAGGATTGGACTCACGTTAGAACTGTCCAAATTGATCAAAACGTTGACGTCCAGAAGTAAATCCGATTGGGTACCGACCAGGACGATGGGAGCGGTGGGGTTGTGTGCGCGAATTTCGGGGACCCATTTTTTTGTAACGTTGTGGAAAGATGTTGGGTTGACCACGCTGAAGCAAAGCAAAAACACATCCGTCTGGCTGTAGGAAAGTGCTCTGAATTCATCAAACTCTTCCTGGAAGAGAGAGGGAAAGAGAGAACCAGTTAGTGAAAGGCTTATAGCAATAGGCTGACTCACCACCATACAGTCAGACAATGTCATTAGAGCGAAACCAGTTACTCACACATCAACAAAATATCTTTTCAGTAATTGCAATCTTATAAAGCATTGTTTGCCATAGGGTTGTCGAAAGTCAGATACTAATCAATACTAAAACTAATATCGAAACTAGATACTAGTTTGAGCAGGTGCTGATACTAAAAAAGTCACTTTAACAGGGCAAAATTTGAGCTTTTCTGAACTGCGTGAGTGTCATTTTGAGATTAATCAGAACGAATACAAGAATACGAATACAAGTACTAAGATAGAGGAAGTACTATTATTTTGTGCATAACATTCCATTACTAAAGAAGGATTTTTTAAAATCTTCATTGTGGTGTCACAATTGGTATCGAGTCCTTGGTATCGTTCCTTAGTATCAGAATTGAGTTTGAATGTTTGTTAACACTGTGGGACAATTACCCACAGGGACCTACAGTGAACGATTATTTAAGTTATAAGTAAATAAGTAAATCATTTAAATGTAATAACAGAAGTTGAACGGACCAGCAATCAGAATTGTTATCTACATATGAGTATTGATTTGGAGTATTTATAAATTAACGACATTATTCACTATGCCTCAATGTGTTTTTTCCCCATTTTTAGCCAAATGGTGTCTGTATTCTTTGCACTGTTCTTAACCACAGTTGCAGAGTTAAATGACAAATTTATAATATTGAAATCACTCAAGAAATATTTTGGCCTAATAAGTCAAATATGTAATCAGCCATTAACATGAAGAATTGGACACAAACATTAAGGAGGCAAGATGGATGAAGGGTTAGCTATGTGTGACTGTAGTGGAAAATGAACCTCCAAACCACCATTAATGGGCAAATGTGACTATTACTTTCTTAGTTTAGTTCTGATTTATGTTTTGTGTTTTTTTCATGCAGAGACACACAATGTTTAAGTTCCTGTGTAGTTAGTAGACTCTCTGCTATTTCAGATATGGATGGCGTAAGCATATGATTCACAAGTCACAAATGAGAAAGGGAACATCATCACGCAACAATTGTGTAAAAACATGATTAATACTGACTAAAACTGTGTAATAAGTCAATAATTATTACTGTTGTAAGTCTCACCTGTCCAGCTGTGTCCAAGAGTTGAACTTTGACAGGGGAGCCCTCCACTTGGACCTGCCCTGTTAGAAGGAAAACAACGCTTATAAACAAGAACATGAACAACAAGTCTACACAGCTTTAATAATAATAAGTTATAGTGACAGAAAAAAAATAAAAAAATTAATAAATGAACCAGGCCAATATTTAACCAATAAGTTTAATACTAGATTGCAAAATGTAGGCTATTTATTTGTATTGCAGGTTACAACAATATTTCCCATTTATATTTTGAATTTTGAAGTCCAGAAGGCTTTTTCATTGACTTTTTATCACAAGCTACTGCATGCAAAAAGCGATATATAGGCTAGTATGAGACAATTTTTCATTTTCTTTTATCACAACCATATATATATATAGGTTTCAACTTGCATTTAAATGGAGTTGCTACAATACGTTTAATATAGGCCTATGTTTATTCTAGAGCATTGCCATTATTTGTTAATTAATCTTTATGTCTACATTTCTGACTTTTACTTAGGCTCCATCCACTGCTGGCATCTGGCAATTACGTACGTAGTCGTAGTAGCTTTACTTGCAGTTGTTAGTCATATGTTCAAAGTTTAAATCTGTGTTACTAAAACAAAAACGTGACTACTTACCAGAGAATACATCGAATCCCGTCTGCTGATACTCTGCAGGGTAACCATTAGAGGTGTAGCTGACCACCATGCTGGTTTTCCCCACTGCCGGATCCCCCACCAGCATGCAGCTGATCGCCCCCGGGTCCAGTGCATCCTCCCCGGTCAGCCCCAGCGCAGAAGCTCGGGGTTCGTGGTGGTAGAAATAATCCATCTGCGGTGGCATGTCGGGCCAAACAAACCAATGCAAAAACTCGTGTTTCTCTAACGTTTAAGTTTTCGCTTCGGTGACTGGTTTTCTAGAGCAAGTCGAACAATGTGATTAGGACTGAATGATTAATCGTTACCACAACAAAGAGCAAAGTCTGCTGGTCATTTGGTAATATGTTGTCCTTCGCAGAAAACAAAATATCCTGTTTCCATATGGAAATGCAAAATCTCCAGAAGCTATCTCCAAATGCGCAAAACTGTGCGTAAACGGTGCGTAAAAGGAGCTACAGCGATCTGCCCTCTCTCGCTCTGCTCTTTCAGTCCTACTTTAGACCTGTTCTAATCCTAGTTTAGACTGGGTAGGGGTCTGACCTATTACCCGGCTCTTCGCATCTCTGACAGAGTCGCGTGGGGTGGATGTATTTAGGGCACTCATGCCCTCAGACAGGTTTTGATTTGCATAGACACTCCCTCCTCACGAGAGCCGCTCCTCAATGTGATAAAGGCAACTAAAGGTCATTTCATTCTCCCTTCATCATCAAATCAGGCTAGTCTAGGTTTATTTAGGCATAGGTCGCCTCATATAGGCCATATAAACTGTCACACTATTTTACTGTAGGCCTACGAAGGGTTTAATATGTAGTGTGGTGCTGGAGGAATTATAGAAAAGAACATATAGAAAAAATATTTTTTTTAAACACAGATTTTAAGATTAGAGGTAAATTATCTTGATGTGAAAATGTGCTTATTAAATCAGATCTTAAACAGGATTAAGCAGGCCTAAACCAGGTCTAAACTAGGACTAAACTGGATCTAAATCAGGTCTATACTATGACTAAACCAAGGCTAAACCAGGTCTATACCAGGTCTAAACCAGCACTAAATCAGGCCTATGTACCAACCCAACCACAGTACATATTTAATAAAAAACAAAAAAAAAAAAACATAAAATGAAACAAAGCACATTTAGTCCATTCTTAGCCCAGCCTGACCTGGCAATTTTGTAATTATTGTTAAATATTAAACACTATTATTATAATTGTATGTTTTGGTTTGGTTATTTATAACTTTGTAAAGTACCTTAACTTTTACCCATGGAAGTCTGACACTTAAGTTTGCAGCGTCCTCTGCTGACAACACCGCGCAACTACTCCCACGGTACACATCAGTCACGTGATCCTCGTGTCACCTGATTGCTGTTTCCTGTATTCTGCACACGGACGCTGTCTTCGCTAAAACATCAAAAATACGTAAAAATACTTTGTTAAATCGCCCGTGATGTGATTCGATAACTTATTTGTGTATTTTATCTAAACTACTCAACATGCTCTATGGATACAGTTAGCTTTTAGCTTGTTATTTTGGATGGCAAACCTAGCTAGTTGTAGATGTATGTCATCTTAGCTCTCATTTTACAAAGCAGGGACGTGAACGTGAGCTAGATTCGTGTAATTAAACACGTTTTATTGTAAAATGGCTTCGATATTGGACGAGTACGAGGATTCACAATATACGAGGCAAAATGTGCAGCCTCACGCCTCTATGATCACCCATTCAGGTAGGATTCACTGGTCTTATTTACTTCCAAAATATTTTGTATTTATTTTGCTCTAATGTGAAAAATGAACTGAAATGGTATGACTTTCTTGATCTTAACTACATTAAATCCTAATTACAGACAATGTTATTATAATGTCCAGAATATTACATTTAAATGGAGAACAGAACAATATACAATATTTCAAAGAGATCCTATGTCGAACAAAAGGCTTAAGTCAGATTCTCAACCAAAAACAACTGTGCACATAAAATACATTTATAAACTAATAATTCAGATTTTGAATAATTTTAGTTTATATTTGAATCCCCTTCAGCTCAAATCTTATGTTCCTGAAAAAAAAATTAGAGATACATCAATATACTGATTGGTTGGTTAATAGCTGTTGGATTTCTATGGTACAACAGCAAAAAGGAGCATATGTAAATGTAAAAATACATGTAAAAGGTAGATTACTTACTTTTGCTGTGCCTTCTTTTTTAGTCGACTGATTGGGAGGACCTGTCAAGAATTTCTTTAGTTGAAAACAGCCCTACTATTTATAATCTTTAGTTATTAAGTATTTATTTCTTGATTTTGTGAATAGGCTTTGTGAACGTGAGACTGGAGGAAGAGAAACCCATTTTTAACAAACAGAGGATTGACTTCACTCCTCCTGAAAAGATCAACCACCTGGCCGTCTGCAACAACCAACTGTGCATGAGTCTGGGGAAAGACACACTTCTCAGGTGAGAAGAACCAGGACTGAACCAGGACTGAACTGGGACTGAACCAGTACAAAACCAGGACTAAAGCAGGACTAACCAGGACCAACCAGAACTAAACCAGGTTTAACCAAGCTCTAACCCAAAACCTAACTAGGTCTAACCAAGCTCTGACCCAGGACTGAATCAGGACAGACTGGGTTTAGACCTGGTTTTGAACCAGGAATCTGTTGAGTGTGAGTGGATTATCATGAACTAATACCCATCCATCAGTGTCAATCAACATCACCATTAGTGAATCATTAAGACAGTTGAAGATTGGTTAAAGCCCCACAGTGTAACATTTCCTTAAAAAAATCATTAAAATACAAAGCTTTGTTTGTAACTTTGCTTTGTGGCATCACTTGTGTGTCTCCATGAAATGTTCCACTGTATGGCAATAAGCATATCCCTTTCTGTGGAGAATGTATCAAATTATGCTTTAACTTTCTACCTCTCTGGAGTCATGCAGATGGCTTGTCAACCATGAAGTAATTAAAATGTATTTACAATGAAAGAGCCTCATACCACAGCTCAAAGAGCATGTTAGGCATGTAATCTTAACCTCTGAGTGAATTGATGGGTCAGATAGGTAAAATCAGCTAACTGTGTAGTGTACACCTCTACTAGACTATCAGCAGGCAATATATTAAATGTTAATGCTCCTCTTTAAAATATGCACTGTAACCTGAATTCTTCTTAAAACACTTACAATAATCTTCTCACTATCAAAACACCTGCCAGAAAAAACTGCTGACACGCCCTTTCTGTTCATTATTGATCCTTGCAGATGAGTTCTGATTCATATTGATTGTCGAGTATTGTAGGTTTATACATGCCTCTCAGAAATGTAAATACAGATATTTACTTGTTTCGTTTTTCAGAATTGACTTGGCCAAACCTGATCAACCCAATCAGATCGAACTCGGGAGGAAAGACGACAGCAGAGTGCACAGGCTTTTCCTCGATCCCACAGGTAAAAGGTCAAAGTTCAAACCAGAGTCACATCACACAACTGTAGTGGCAAGGCAAGCCAAGTTTATTTGTATAGCACAATTCATACACAAAGTAATTCAAAGTACTTTACAGAATAAGAAATACATTAAAATCACAATAAAAACAAGTCTAAACATAAATAATCATCATAAAATAAAAAAGAGAAAGAGACATTAAATAAGAGAGAATAAGAGAAAAGAATGCAGAATGATGGATTTAAACAGAGGCCTGTCTCACATGTCCAGGAAGACTTTACCAGGTTTTAGCTGCATAAAACTGTAACAATGACTCCCTGTGTTTAGTCCTGACTCTGGGGACCAGCAGGAGGCTGGTCCCTGAGGTCCCCAGAGTGCAAGATGGTTCATATGGCACTAAGATGTTAGAGATGTACTTTGGTGCTCGGCCATGGAGAGACTTGTACACAAGCAGAGCTGCTTTAAAGTCTATTCTCTGAGCCACAAGAAGCCAGTGCAGAGACCTGAGCACAGGCCAGGGGGCACATGTAGGTCATATTGATTATAACATCAGTTCTGTCTGTGTTTGGCCAGATGATCAATAAACAAAAGATACAACTAATATATTAATTACAGATAACTTACTGTAAAAATGGCACATTCTTTTACAGGGCACAAGATGTGATATAAGACCAAATCTTATTTAATGTTCAGTATTTCTAAGAATACATCTACATTTGTTAAAGTTGCACTATGTAACATTTTTGATTCAGGTGTCTGCCACTTGTCTCCTTGGAGATAGTATTTCTTTTCCTGGGATATTCCACAGTATAGGTTTAAAATGATCTATCTTGCATTTATTCAATTCTTAAAAATACATAGAAAAAACATGCATTTTTAGTGTGAGTGGCAGTAACCTGTCACTTGATTCTATGGAGATGGATAAAGTTAATGCCATGCTGAGAAACATTACTGTCAAACCAAAAATATCTAAACTCCCACACAATGTCTCACTCTGTTTTTTTTTTTTTAAATGTCTTTCATTACTTACAATGTTTAGGTCAGTTGATTTCAGGTATAATACTATCTCCATGGAGATAATTGCAATTTATACACGAATCACATTTCAGAACATGTTCATACAGTTTTAAACTACAGGGTTAGCAGAGTTTATGCAGAATAAGACAGGAGATTTTGATTTTGTGGAGGAAATGATGGTACTTTAAAAAAACTGGAGCCTTTACATATTCCTTACAGCGTCCATTCAGATTTTGATTTGATTTGCTTCTACTAAAAGTTGCTCTTTTTTCTGTTTTAGAAATACAGTAGGTGTGCATGTTACCACTATTGCCATAACAAACCAGTGATGTCTTGTTTTTGTTTTCAGGCTTTCATCTGCTGATCAGCCTGACCTCCAATGAGTGCCTGTATTTGAACAGAAACACTCAGAAAGTGCGCCCCTTGTCTCGCTGGAGAGGGCATCTCATCGAGAGCGTGGGGTGGAACAAACTCTTGGGCACCGACAGCACCACAGGGCCCATTCTGCTTGGAACCAGCCAAGGACTCATCTTTGAGGCTGAGATCACTGCGAGCGAAGGCAGTCTATTCAACAACAACCCTGACCAGTACTTCAGACAGGTGAGAGGATGCTTTGAATAAACACATGACAAATGCATTTTTATATGTGTTTATGTAGCATGGTTTCATAGTGGTTAAGCACACCTCACTGTGAATAAGTGAAATTAGTAACTCTTTCCTTGTTAAATAATAATTATAAGACATTTTTGATAACACATAATAACTACTTTCATTAGCCTTAATAATGCATAAACAAAGACTTAATTTATAATGAACATATTGTTTAGACTTAGTAATTGTTTAAAGTGTTGGAAAGTAGGGTTTCAATTAAGTAGTTTCTAAGCTATAGTCATTCTTAATAAACTATTTTATTGAAGGTGTGTGTGATTTTTATTGTCTTATAAAACAGACCTAGTTCATTTTAAACACTTTGCAGTGGTCCAAAGTTATTCCTCATTGACCTTCGCATTCACAGGATCCTATATATCCACATGTTCATTTCTATCATTGGTTCAGAGAGACCTATTTCAAATTGAGATGTAGAACTCTATTCAGAGGGCTACACATATCAGTCTAGTGAGAGCCAGGTTAAAGGAAATGTGAAATGGTTTAAAAGGATAATCTTTAACTAGAAAGTAATATTAGTAAGTACATAACAGCCGTGCATCTCACCCGCCTTGTTCCTTTTGTTTTCAGGTTCACTCTCTGGAAGAAGATGGCCGCCCTGCTCCTGTCTGCTGCATTGAGATCGAACGCGGATGGGAAAACAAGTTCTTCATCATCGCCACCACTAGGAAGCGCCTCTTTCAGTTCGTGGGGAAAGTGGCTGAAGGCTCAGAGCAGCAGGGATTCAGCTCCATCTTCTCCCAGAACCAGGATCTTCTCCCGAGTTTTCAGGAGTTTCCAGTGAACATGGGCTACAGCGAGATCACCTTCTACACGTCCAAACTTAGGTCATCGCCCAAAGCCTTCGCCTGGATGATGGGGAACGGGGTCCTCTACGGCCAACTGGACAGCGTCAGGCCAGACTCACTGCTCAGTGATGTACAGGTGAGGTTCTGTTGGTTAAAACTGATCAAATAGTAGTGATAAACATGGTGGGTTTAGTATATTTAATATATTATCTTATTCTACTTTGTTCGATTAGCCACTGTTTATCTAGACCTGTTAAAATGTACTCAAATCAAGATCAATAAAACTTAAATCAAACATATTCAATACATTCAAGAATTTAGTTTGTGTGGTGGTCTTCATCTTATTTCAACTTATGCTTCTTTTACTTATACTTTACTTACTTTTTGTCAAAATTTCTAGGTGTGGGAGTACACGCCTGACATTGATCTGGCCTTTAACAAACCCATCTCCATCGTTCTGACTCAGTTCCACTTCCTGCTTCTCCTCCCCGACCGAATTAAAGCCGTCTGCACGCTCAACGGACAGGTCGTGTACGAAGATGTTTTCCCAGAGAAGTTTGGCGCCCTCAAGAGGATGATCAAGGACCCTGTAGGCGGATTGGTCTGGATTTACACTGAGAAAGCAGTTTTCCGGTACCACATCCAAAAGGAATCTCGCGATGTTTGGCAAATGTACATGGGGATGAATAAGTTCGATTTGGCGAAGGAGTTCTGTCGTGATCGTCCTGAATGCATGGATATGGTGTTAGCGAAAGAAGCGGAGCACTGGTTTCAGAATAAGCGATACCTTGAGAGTGCAAAATGCTATGCCTTGACGCAAAACTACTTTGAAGAAATTGCGTTAAAATTCATTGAAGCAAAGCAAGAAGATGCCTTGAAAGAGTTTTTGCTCAAGAAGCTGAACAATTTGAAGCAAAACGAAAAAACGCAGATTACCTTGCTGGTAACCTGGCTTGCTGAGCTGTATCTGAATAGAATCGGACAGTTAGAAAGCGATTGTAACACTGTTGTATTCAAAGAAACACGCGATGAGTTTAGGAAATTTCTTAGCAGCCCAAAATACAAGGACTGTCTTTTCAACAATCGTAGCACCATTTACGATCTTCTCGCCAGTCACGGAAATGTAGATGATATGGTTTACTTCTCAGTCGTAATGCAAGACTATGAAAGAGTAATTTCTCATTATTGTCAACACGATGACTTCACTGCCGCTTTAGATGTTCTTTCAAAACATTGCGATGAGAAACTGTTCTACAAATTCTCGCCAGTTCTCATGCAACACATCCCCAAAAAAGTGGTGGACGCCTGGATTCAAATGGGGAAAAGACTAGACCCCAAAAAGTTAATTCCCGCTCTTATGAATTACAGTCAAATGGGAAGTACACAGCAAATTAACGAAACTATACGCTACATGGAGTTTTGCGTGTTTGAATTGGCTGTGACAGAGGAGGCCATTCACAACTATCTGTTGTCTCTCTATGCGAAATACAGAGCGGATTCGTTGTTGTCATATTTGCAGCAGGCAGGGACACATTCCTCGGAAATCCACTATGATTTAAAGTACGCGTTGAGGCTGTGTGCAGAGCATGGATACCTGAAGGCTTGTGTGCTTGTCTACAAGATCATGGAGCTCTATGAAGAGGCTGTTGATCTGGCTTTACAGGTAAGCAATTTAAAATCTAAAGACGTGCTATGTAACTTTTTTGGTATAGAGGGTCAGCTGCTTGCTTGTCTCCATAAAGATGTTTCCCAAAATAAACAATAGATACCTTAATGGTGCACTAGGCAACTTTTTGGTGAGTGTTGCATAGTGTGGTATTAAAAATAACTGTCCCACATTTTTTGTATTAAAATATAAAGAAATAAAAAGAATAGCATAAAAAACATGAATTCGTACAGATTTGACCTGTAATTTTACCCTGCAGTGTCACCCAAGGAGATAAGCTGGTGGTTTACTCTCCACCTACATTGTGTTATTATGAATCTTTTGACATTCTATGGTGAACTTCCTGGTGAGGTTGGGTGACAGCTCATCTGGTGTGTTTATCCACTGTTCCATTGAAGGTTGGTGGTTCAAATCCCACTCTCGACATAAACATCTTTGGTTTAGTGGTCAGAACCACTGACCCACAGGTTTGCAATGTAATTGCAGCTCTTACAGATTAATGCTGTTGTTGTGTCCATGGGCAAGACACTTAACCCACCTTGCCCCTAGTGTCTGTATACACTGTTGTATGTGAATTTGTGTGTGAAAGGGTGAGTGGTTTCTTGATGTAAAGTGCCTTGAGTGCCTTGAAGGTGGAAAAACGCCATATAAAAATGACCATTTACCATATAGTATTCTTGGTAGACTAAAGACGTGCCTTGTGCATAAGTTAATCGACAAAAAAGGCATGATGCTCTTTATAGAGATATCCAGTCACTCTCAAAACCCCTGCTAACTCTTCATTCAATCTCCTTTCTGTTGTTGTCAACATAAATAATTCAGGTGGATGTGGACCTGGCTAAGTCTTGTGCTGATCTGCCTGAAGATGATGAGGAGTTGAGGAAGAAGCTCTGGCTGAAAATTGCCAAACATGTAGTTCAAGAGGAGAAGGATGTGAAGAAGGCCATGAACTGTCTCTCCAGCTGTGACCTGCTCAAGATCGAAGATATCCTTCCATTCTTCCCAGACTTTGTCACCATCGACCACTTTAAGGTTTGGTCTACATTTAAAGTTCTTATATTAACACAAAATGGACTCTCATGGGCTTTAAGGCTTGTTATAATGCTGTTACCTCATCAAAAACACACCTGGAGTTGTGTTTTGTTTCATTTACACATGTTTGAGAAATATTTGTTATTAGTCTGTGTACATCTCCAAAGCTAAAAATGCTCTGTTCTACCTTGTGATGTCATAAAGTGGTAATTTTCAAGTTAACAGCTACATTTTACAACGCAGGAAAAAACTGAGGCACTCAAAAAGTACAAAATAATTAAAAGCCTTTAATACCACATGGCAGATAAAGTTAAAATATGCCAATGCGTTTCGGCCCTTCGGCCTTCATCAGGGCAAACTCGAGATGGTTATCACAGTGCAGATTTAAAGTAATGGGTGCAGGTCACATGTTCACAGTGGGCTGGCCCACAGTCCCCTAGATGCATGATGGGACATGTAGGCTTAACAAATTTTAATTACAGGCTATACAATTTCAAATACAATAATACAAGACATAAATGGTGCAAATCCCAACAACCAATACATAGAAAGATACATTATATGAAAATAGTATAAAATAGTATAAAAAACTAATATATAAAGATAAATAGTGTAAGGATATATATAGTGTGATAATTCAAAAGTGCTTCAGCTATAGTTTGCATAATATATTTAAGGGCTAGTCTTAAATAATTTCATGAAGACAGGGATATAGGGCAAGGATCGATTACACATTTAAAGCTTGTAGTTTTAAAGGAACGGGGAGAAATCTAACTCTCCATTGAGTCCTGGAAACTGTGTAACCTTGAGAGTGTAGATCCAGTAGGTCTCTCTCTGTAATAGTTTTTTCAGTCTATCTCCTCCTCTTATTGTCTACTGGATCTACACTCTCAAGGCTACAGAGTTTCCATGACTCAATGGAGAGTTAAATTTCTCCCCCTTCCTTTAAAACTACAAGCTTTAAATGTGTAATCGATCCTTGCCCTATATCCCTGTCTTCATGAAATTATTTAAGACTAGCCCTTAAATATATTATGCAAACTATAGCTGAAGCACTTTTGAATTATCACACTATATATATCCTTACACTGTGTATCTTTATATATTAGTTTTTTATACTATTTTATACTATTTTCATATAATGTATCTTTCTATGTATTGGTTGTTGGGATTTGCACCATTTTTGTCTTGTATTATTGTATTTGAACTTGTATAGCCTGTAATTAAAAATTTGTTAAGCCTACATGTCCCATCATGCATCTAGGGGACTGTGGGCCAGCCCACTGTGAACATGTGACCTACACCTATGACTTTAAATCTGCACTGTGATAACCATCTCGAGTTTGCCCTGATGAAGGCCGAAGGGCCGAAACGCGTTGGCGTATTTTAACTTTATCTGCCATGTGCTATTAAAGGCTTTTAATTATTTTGTACTTTTTGAGTGCCTCAGTTTTTTTCCTACTTTGTATTTGAGACTGGTCCCTACACTGAAGATCACCAAAAGAACAATTCTGCACATTTTTTGCATATCCAAGTAGCACTCCTGCCCCCAAAGCCTTGCAGAGCTACATTTTACCTTTAGTTAATCAGATTTCAGCAATTCCAGGGCAGAAGTTATTCAAATGATTCTGTTGAGGTTATATGAAGTTTAAAACTCACACAGTGGAGCATTTCTGTATTACCACATGACATCACAAGGTGGAACACAGGTTTTCTGTTTAAGAGAAGAACTCATCCTAAATATGCAGGGTTTGTATGAAACAAAACAAAAACAAAACTTCAGGTATGTTTTTGATGAGTAAACAACATTATAACATACGGTAGATCAGAAGATAGCATAATATGGGCCCTTTATTTTTTACCAATAGTTCAATGTTCCATGTGTTTTTTTTCCCCAGGAGGCGATCTGCGGTTCTCTAGAGGAGTATAACCAGCACATCGAAGAGCTGAAGCAGGAGATGGAGGAGGCCACGGAAAGCGCCAAACGGATCCGTGAGGACATCCAAGAAATGAGAAACAAATATGGTGTTGTGGACTCGCAGGAGAAGTGTGCGTCATGTGACTTTCCTTTGCTCAACCGACCGTTCTACTTGTTCCTGTGCGGGCACATGTTCCACTACGACTGTCTCTTCCAGGTAAAATACTTGGCTTTAATTTAATAAATTAATTAATTTAAGTTATGCAAACAAGTCAAATAACGACTTCTTAAAGGTCCCATATTACACTGTTTTCTGATCTCTGTTATAATGTTGTTTCCTCATCACAAACACACCTGGAGTTGTGTTTTGTTTCATTCACACAAGTTAAGCGCACAAACCTTGCATATTTAGGCTGAGTTCTTCTCTCAAATGGAAAACACTCTATCCCACCTAGTATTTTCTTACTCTGCTATGAATAAATGTAGTGTAAAGAAAATGAATAATTTCTTTTCTCTTGTACAGGAAGTGACCCCTCATCTGTCTGTGTTCAAACTGAGTCGTCTGGAGGAACTGCAGAAGAAACTTTCCGTTGCGACTCAGTCGTCCAAATCTCGCCACCGCCAAAAAGAGGAATCAGACACGGCGAGTCTGGGAAAAGGCACCGCTGGAAACAGCCGCGAGCAAATCAAATCTGACATCGATGACATCATAGCTTCCGAATGCGTTTATTGTGGAGAACTCATGATCAAGTCCATTGACAAACCTTTTATTGATCCAGACAAGTTTGAAGAGGAGCAATCCAGCTGGTTATAGATCTCTGAATATATCATACTAATAATATGATGATCTAACAGTCACGCCACACTGCAAAAATTGGTATTTCCATCAATTAAAATTACTTGAATTCACAAAAGGAGGTTATGGAGATGACATCACATCCTTTGGAACTTTCTTAGAGTGGCAACAGTACATGAGTGTCTATGGTAAAAAAGCTCAAACCACATCTAAGATGTGAAAGAGCTGCCACAGTTTAATGACCAATATAAAAGTCTAGAACTCTGCTAAATATTTAGTTTGTACCTGACATTTAACACAAGAAAATTAAGGTTTAACTGTTTACTGTAGAAAACCAGAGAGCAGTTAAAACCTCTACTATTCTTACTGGAAGTTTATTTTAGTCAGGTCTAGACTTTAGACAGGCTTCAGTATATTTTTGTATAATTTCAAATCTATTAACCCAAACTACTAACTAACCTTCAAGATTTTTGAATCTAATTTTGGATTCAAGTAATTTTAACTAATGTTGATATTAATTTTTGCAGTGTAGAAATCTGCACTAAGCCTAAACTTACCTGTTGATTGTGCCTATAACAAAACTTTTTCTGTATGGTGTATCAAAATATCATAAGAGAACCCACATGATATGAGTTTAGACACCAAGTTACCAACACATTTATACAGTGCTCTTTGCGATTCTTGCCACCCTGAAGTGTTCTGTCTGCCAAATCCTACCCAGGCATGTGTTTTATGATCTTACTTAAACTGACCTAACATAATCATAATATGCATCTATTAATACTTTTGATTAAGATTGCATTATTTATTCACCACAACTGGTAGACTGACAGATGCTCTGCCCCTTCAATCATCACCAATCACTCACTCAGTCACACACCACATTATACATCATACTAGGCAAGGTCCGTGAAGTGTCTTGCTCAATGACCTAACAACAGTATGCCCTAGTCTGAGCGGATGTTGAACCATCAACTTGGGCTGGTGTGGGAACTGTTCGTCATTGATTTACTGAGTTGTATTTCTTTAAATGGCCCATATTATGTTATTTTTTGATCTGCTGAAATGTTTTTTCCTCATCACAATCATAACTGGAGTTGTGTTTTGTTTCATTCACGCATGTTTAATCCTCAAATCCTGCAAACTTGGCTGAGTTCTTCTCTCAAATATATAAAACACTGTGTTCCATCTTGTGATGTCATGTGGTAATACAGGAAGTGCTCCACTGCTCCATAAACCTTCACTAGAAGCATTTGATGTGAATGAATGTCCGGGTGGGTTTTTGATGAGGTAACAACATTTTAACATGAGTCATGAGTCAATTTTGCATAATATAGGACCTTTTAAAAGCACTCAGGTTTTCATTTTTAAACTATATATTCATTGTCACCCAGAGATTGTGGTTGGAGATTTACTAAAGGGTCCTTGGGTACTGCTCCTGTCGTTCTGTGGCATTAAAGAATGGGTCAAATGCAAATAAGCATACATAGAAAAGGGTGACCTTTTCAGATTAAAATGTATGAAAAATACAGCTTTGTGAGATTTACCAAGGGTGCCATTTATAGCAGCAGGAACTAGAACTTGACTCTGAAAATGTTACACAGATATCATTTGCTTGTTCTTGTCTTTATTGTTTGTTTTATAAATTAAATAATGCTCAGTTGAAAATATTTTGAATTTTATAGTACTTTTTTTCAGATGTTGTCCAGTGAAAGCTATACAAAAAGGTGAAGCTAAAACATATTCCATGGAAGACTGGAAAAAACAGAATAATTTCCTGTTTGAATTTAAGGGGTTGTCTTAATGGTTTCGTTAAAATTACTTCAGATTAATTTCTAACTACTTCACATTTCTTTTCTTTCCTTTTTTAATATAACTACTATATTTATAACTTAAATTTCAGTGACAACTTCCTTGGTAAATTGTCTAGTATTATTGCTTGAAATAAAAATAAATCAAAATAAGTACTGTAATTTGAAATCTCAAATATGTAAATAAAGACAAAACAAGATTTAAATTACATTTCTCGTTATTTTAATGGCATTTTAAGTAATTTTAACTTTAAATTTTTTTTTTTCAGCGGGGGGGGGGAGTTGAAACATTACATATTTTTGAAAGGATTATGCAAAAAATATTGATTAACCTTGAAATGTAAATCAAAAATCGTGGTTGAGGATGCTCTGCCCTAAAAAGGAGTTCCTGTTGGTTTGCGTAAGACGTCGCTCGATAATCTTCAAACTCAACAGACTGGGGTAATCGAACCCGGAAAGAGACAACCGTTAATCAATACATTGTTTTATTTTTCGTCGTTTCGCTATATATCACATAAATAAAAGTTTAGGCTCGAATATAGGTGGATTTGTTGAGTTTGAACAGGTATTTTAGTCCGAGAAACGGTATAAAAGTGCGTCCGTTTATCGGCGCTCGACTGGCGTGTCCTGCTCCTCTCTGTAACCTCGCCATGGCGTCGTATCTGCCTGTTCTCTCTGTTGCAGAAAGTGGCCGCCTCTCCGCTGCTGCTGCCGACTCAAAGCTCCCAGACTCAAAACCCCTCACACCGCCATTTTGTGAGCGCGGAGAACCGACAGTCGGCAGCAGCAGCGGCGAGAGACACGGGGCCAAACGGGGCCGAGGTGAGAGGCTGTTGGGCTGAACGGTGCTGGTTATGGCGAAGGGGGAGCATGGCCGGGAGGGCGAAAGAATGACAAAACATCGGGCAGGGAAGCAGCTGTGTGCCCGCTAAGGAGCGCTGGATGCTCCGAGGAACGCGGGTGGAGGGCCTACTATTCTTAAACCCATATAAATCCAACTATTAAACCTTACTATCTACAATATCGGGAGGTGGTGGCCTTAAAGCGACAGGCCGATGTGAAAACTTCAAAATAATGGTGCAAAAATGTGTCAAAATTTGTCAAAAATGCCAAGCTAGCATTCCTGGTCAAAGTCAAATATTATCTAATGGAAGAAGCTAGCGGGAAGGATACAATACAAGGAGAAATTGCATCCAAGAAACCCAATACTAATGCAAAATAATGTAATATGGTGTGAGCGGTAAAGTGGCCCGTAAACAGTGCATTGACCCCTTTCTATCCTTGATCAGAGCTAACGCTGTGCATGCTCCAGCACCTAGCGGCTAGTGTGCTAACTGCTAAGCTAATGCAGTAATCATGGCAAGGCAACATTGGACAACATTGGTCTGTGGAGGTATAAATTAAACATAGCATAACTTATCAGTTTCATTTTAGGATGGGTAATTTCATTTTAAATTGTTTAGTGCAATTTTGAAACCAATTATTTACCATTTTTGCACTATGGGGTTCAAGTTTTATAATCTGCCAATTGAGTGGGGCCCCAAGCTTTTAGTGGAGGGCATTTCTTTTTACTTACTGAAAATACAAATAGGTCAATGAAAAATAAACAATTACAGTGATCCAGAGTTTCTGAAAGGGAAAACAAATCTGAATAATTATGAGCCACACACTCATAAAACAATTTCTTACAATCATAACTTTTAAGTAATTTTAATATTAGTTAAGAATATTAATGTTGTGCTATGTGTGGATTAATTTTGAAAAATACTGGGTTCCATTATGGACAGTGACAACAAAAAGTACAATGGAGACCTCATTGGGTGTATTTGCAGATTAAAATATGTCATATTCCCATTTTGTCCTAGCTATTGTTGAACTCTTGAGTGCATATACTACTGTAGGAAATATTATCTATTCAAGTATATAAAACCCACTGCAAGAACTGAAATGAACCAAGTTGTCTCTTTCCTTAGCAAAAACATTTCTTATTTGAATCAGAATGACTTTTATTTATCCTCAAGGGGAAATTATTTTGGTTACAGACATGCTGCCGACCAGCAGAAGAATAGTGATCAATAAATAAAGTTTAATAAAATCTTAAATATTAGTAATACAGAGGAAATAAGTACAATAAGTCCTCAGTCATCCCATAGATTTTGTTAAGACTATGGTTGTTCAAATAATTTTTATCTGAATAATTTTATCTCCTTGGATATGTACTGTGTAAATGTTTTTTACTGCCTGTATTTAATCTTTAACCATAATTTTGACCAGTGTTTTCTTTTTAAAGTTCATTATAATTTTCATGTCTAATTTTGCTATGCATATACAGTCCTAAGTTTTTAGACTATGGGGGACCACTGTAGTCTTCTGTATTAATGAGAAACACTGGACTTTATCAGTTAAACCCCCAGTAAAATAAAATTAAGATTTAACTTGAATTATAAACATATATTACCCTTCTAACACAGCTATATCTTTATAGTTTTACAACAGTGAGGTATGAACAGAATGTTGCAGAGGGATTGTACAGTGAGCCTTTTAAAGCAGAGTTAAACAATGTATTGGTGAAAGGCAGGAGTGATTCTTTTATTAAACCAGTTTGTTGCCATACCTTGACAAGTTTCTGTGTGTATGTATTTTGTGTGGAGCTGTTCCTGTTCGGATACTAATTCTGAAGTTTTTTATTGTTTTTCCTTCCTTGTTTGTTATAGAATTTCTCAGATATTCTTGATCACAGCACAATGACATCCTGTTCTGAAAAGGCAAGCCCTAGCACCTGATTTTAACATCTCTACAACATAAATAAAATGCTATTATTAAAACATATTTATTCTCCCCCGTACTTCAGTAAGTGCTCCTGCCCTGGAGGGTGCAGGATGGCGTCAGGGCAGAGCATGCGTTTGGAGGCAGGGCCATCGGGGGGTGCTGTGCTGGCCAAACCTCTATATCTGCAACGTCTGGAGAGGTCACTCAAACTTGACTCTTTCCTGCGACAAACGGCAGCGGTTTTCAACACAGACATCACCAGGTACAAACAAGGAAAACAACAAACAAACATAACATGGTTCAATCAGCCTTATAATTTTGAGTATGTTTTAAAAAAAAGATTGATACCAGTTATAATGTTTCCTCATAAAAAAAAAATACTTGGAGTGGTATATTTTTGAACATATGTATTGTGTATATCAGGGTTTCACTTCATGACATCATAAGGAGGAACAGAGCATTTTGAGCTGTGGTGTTGTGGCAGTGTAGACAGGTTTGTGTGTTAAATGTGTGTGAATGAAATAAAAAAAAAAATTAAATTCCAGGTATGTTTTTGATGAGGAAAACAACATTATAACAGACAAGAAAAGAGTGTAATAGAGGCCCTTTAAACCTGATTTTTATTTATTTTTTGCTAACTGAAATAATTACAGACGTTATTTTGCTGGTTGGGCTGGTGGCATGGTTATTTTGGGGGCCCATTTCTGAAAAGTTTGGGAAACCCTGATGTACGCAATACATATGTTTGTAAATGTAGATTCAAGTATATAGAATTAAAATGTTTGTGGAAAACTGTTTAATACTATATGTACTAACCCAGATGCTCTTGTTTTATTGGTTTTCTCAGTGATGACAGTGAGGATAGTGACTGTGGGCTGGACTCGGGTCTGTCTCTAGACTCTGGACCAAACTCAGCTTTGAAGCAGGAGCCATGTGAACAGAGCGATGCTTCAGAAGGAAAACCACCACGCAACGGAGTCCTGCTGCAAAAAGGTGAACAGGAATCTAATCTAATTAAACCATCAGTTATCAAGTCACAAGCCAAGACCACAACCTCAGAATAGGTCAAAAAATCAGATATTAATCAATACTGATGCTAGTGTCAAAACTAGATACTCATATGAGTAGGTATCGATACTAAAAAGTCACATTCACAGGACAGAAATGAACCTTTCCTGAATAGCTTTAGAATGATCTTGAGCTGCAGCAAAAGTACAAACAAGTATAAAAGCACATAGTAGTACATGCCCATGCACTGTAGTGGTATTGCAATGGGTATTTAAAATTGTTTATCATTTAATATCGTTTATCGTTTGAGTTGTACAACTACAGCACTTGTAGAATATGCTCCATCAAGAAAATGTCCTCAAGAAATTTCATCAAGTTCAATATCTACATGTGTCAAGGAAGCCACTCACCCATTCACACACATATTCATACACCAGTGTTTGCAGACATTGGACGCAAGGGGTGTTAAGTGTCTTGCCCAAGGGCACAATAACAGTGTTCATCTGTGGGATCTGTAATTGCTCTGCCAATCTGTGGGTCCAGAGATGCCTTTTAAGCTCTTTTCTGAGACACCCCTAGGAAAATGAAATATGCTTTTATTTCACAGAGCAAAAGACAGACAAAGCGAGTCTCTACAACTTCTCCAAGCTGAAGAAGAACAGGAAGTGGCTGAAGGTTGGTCCATGTTCACTCCGCTGTTTTTTCTCCTTCAGTTTTCATATATTCATGTATTTCTTTGTGTCTTTCTTTCAGAGCTTACTTTTGAGCGATGACACCACAGACTCAGGCTCAGACTCCGATGATTCTGACTTTAGTTTATCTAAAGATGAGCTTCACGACATGTTAAGGCTCCATCGCTTCAGTCGGCAGCACCAGAGCAAGTTCCATTCAGACAGAGAGGTACCTCCATTTATCAGTTAAGCCGACATCCTGGTGGGCCATAAAAGGCGATTTACTGGTTTTAGGCCCAGAAAGTCTCAGTGTTACTTGAAATGTTAAAACTGTTGCTTGTGGTTACTTGAGGGATAAATAACACCTACATAACACATATGAATTAGTTTTGTCTTATTTTATTTTTGTTTAAAAGAAAATTATGCTATTTTCAATCTCTGCACTGGTATTGGTTGATATCGGCTATCTGCAGAAGCTACAGTGTCGAAATTGGTATTGGAAATGAAAAAGACAGATTGATGCATCCCTAATTTAAATCTTAAATTTAAAAAAAGGATTGAATGCACATAATTACATTCTAATAATTTTATCAGAACGATAAGAACCTTGTATTTGATAATAACATACATTTGTAATATTTGTGAATGACCAATTTCAAATGTTTATTTATTTATTTATTGTTTTAAGGTGTATTAGTTAAAAATGTGTAAAATGTTGTGTCTTCCTCCTCTTATGCAGCTCCATCAGTACCAGTATTACAGCACAGGGCTCCTCTCCACTCATGACCCATTCTATGAGCAGCAGCGCCACCTACTGGGCCCCAAGAAGAAGAAAATCAAAGATGAGAAGAAATTCAAGGGTGAGTCACAAGTTTATTTTACAAACCTAACATATAACTTTTAATATTTATTTTATTATTATTTTATTATTATTATTATTATTATTATTATTATTATTATTATTATATTTTTTTTATACATTTTCTTTTCTTTTTTATTGTATTCTTGGTAACAGAATGAATGATTCAGCATGATTAAGGCTTGGTATCGACATAACTAATACCATAGCTCCTAACCATTTAATTTTCTTTTATTAAACCTGAATCGTTTTTAAAGCCACAGTATGTAACTTTTAGGCAAAAAATACAATGGTTGTTATTATTGAACTGAAAAACACACATCTTTACTGTAAGCAGGCTTGCATCTCCACAAACCTGACTCTTATTTTGCCTTGCGGAGTGTCTCCTCCTGCTTGTTTCTATGGAAATGTTTATGTGCCCCCTCTAGAAAACTAACTATATCTTGTATATCTATGTCTTTGTCTCTGTAGCCAAACTGAAGAAGGTGAAAAAGCGGAAAAAGCGCGGTGAGGGCGATTCTGTTGATGATGAGCGACCATTTGTAACGAAGGTTTTTGCGAAGTTTTCTCACGACGCGCCACTGCCTCCAGTGAAGAAGAAGCACCTGAGCCTGGAGCAACTGAATGCACGAAGACGAAAAGTGTGGCTCACCATCGCCAAGAAGGAGGTGCCCAAGGTCTGTGCTACTAAATACACTTTAAAACAATACAAACAATGTTGATGCTTTCCATTCCTGGAGGTGTGGTCCTAACTGTAGGCATGCACTGTCTGAGTCTTTGTGTTTAAATATAGCTCAGATTAAATTCTAACAATCTAAATATAAAGAACTGACTTAGTCTACTCATCTACATCAGGTGATGTGATTTTTACAGTTGCACAAGTCCCACTACATTACAATCACATGCTAGCTATCATTTCTTCAGTTATTCTGTTCTTATATGAATTCAATGACAGTTGTGTTTACATTGTTAAAATTACCTTGAGATTATGCATTGTTATAGTGAGCGGGCTAGACTCACCTCTCTACAAATCTGACATGTAATTTTACCTCATAGTGCCACCTGTTTATACTCATGTACATAATTAATAGTTAGTCTTAAAAAAATTGAGAGTTTAGGTTTTCATCCTTTGGTGTGCATGTGTTTCAGACTTTCAAGCAGAAAACATCTGCCAAAAACCTTGTATTTACCAACGCTAAAAAGGTAAGACGAAAACATTGTTTTAAATTGAAATTGTCATTTAAATTTTAAATATTAAATAATTTGAATAATCCTGTATTCGTGCTTGGTGTGTTGTTTAGCTGGCCCATCAGTGCATGCGAGAAGTGCGGCGTGCGGCAATCCAGGCTCAGAAGAACTGTAAAGAGACTCTGCCCCGAGCACGGCGTTTAACGAAGGAAATGATGCTCTATTGGAAAAAATACGACAAAGTGGAGAAAGAACATCGGAAAAGAGCAGAGAAGGAGGCTCTGGAGCAGCGCAAACTCGACGAAGAGATGAGAGAGGTACCAATTTGAAAAAGAATGTCCAGACAAAATGGGTCAAATGCAGATGATGAATTTTCTTATGGGGGATATAATGGGGTATACCTGACTTTATACCTGTCTTTATATGTTGACTTAAATTCTTTTACGAGTTATTATTTAACATTTTATGATGTTTCTGACTGATATAATTTGTTTTTTTTAAAGTAATGTTTAAAATCTTTCTCCCTTTCTGTTTTTCAGGCAAAGCGTCAGCAGCGTAAATTGAACTTCCTAATCACACAGACGGAGCTATACGCACACTTCATGAGTGGCAAAGGCCCTGGGGCTGAAGGTCAAGACGAAATCCTGCAGAAACTGGAGGACAGCGCCCCTCACAGACAGATCGACATCGGAGGAGGCGTCATGGTCAACATGGGACAGGAAGATTATGGTACCAGAGATATGTTTAGGATTATATGAACAAAAGTCAATGATCTTAACATTTCTGATACCACTGCATGTTATACTGGTATCGAAACATTAGCAGCAGTCTTATGTTCATACTAAATATAGTAATAAATATAGCTGCATGATTAATTGCAATGCATTTTTTGTCCTTTGACAGACAGTGAATACTACAAGTCCCAAGCTCTTAGGAACGCCACAGAGGCCTATCAGATTCACCAGGAGAGGGTAAGTGAAATCTAAATCTTATGGCTGATTTAAAGTTCCTAGACTATGTAAACTTTACTTTATTCTTATAAGATTATATGTTAGAATATTGTTACCTCCTCCAAAACATACCTTAAGTTGTGTTTTGTTTCATACACACTTGTTTGAGTAATCCTGTATTATTAGTATATCTACTTCTCCAAAACTCAAAATGCTCTGTTCTACCTCATGATGTCATGTAGTGTAGTCATGTAGTACCTTTTACCTTTAGTTCAGTAGCGATTAGTTTTAAATAATCCAGAGTTTATGGAGTATGTATGAGTTTATAACACAGTGAAGCACTTTCGGTATTACCACATGACATCACAAGGTGGAATAGAGTGTTTTCTCTTTAGAGAAGAAAATAACTAAATATGCTGGATTTGTGAATGAAACAAAACACAACTCCAGGTGTTTGTGAGGAGTAAATGTTATAACATAGATCAGAAAATAGTATAATATTGGACCTTTAAGTCTTTGTCCAAACTAATAAAACTCTGTTCCCGTGCAGACTCGTATGTTTGATGATGAAGCAAAAGACAGTCGTGCTGCAGCCGGGGCATCTGGGTCAGGTGTGGCATCAGTGACAGGTGTTGGGCAGGTGCATGTGGCAGGTGCAGCTTCTGGGTTTGGAGAGAGCTACAGTTTGTCGAACCCGTCAATTCAGGCCGGAGAGGACATCCCACAGCCCACCATCTTCAACGGGAAACTCAAGGCCTATCAGCTCAAAGGCATGAACTGGCTCGCCAACCTCTATGAACAGGTGAGCGGTTAAACTTTAACTCACATGTATCTCTTATATGGAGACCATTTAGAGATTTATTGTTTAAAGAAACTGTAAGGTTTCATTTAAAATGTCATAAATGGGACCCATCTCGGTCTTCAGATATGAGGTAGATGGTTAAATCAAATATTGCTTTTGCTTAACATTACAATTATAGATGTTAAATTACAGATTTATTCTTGTTTACAAAAACTCTGGACATGATGGCCAAGTTGTTTGTTATAATTTGGTGTTTTGGTTCTCAAGATGATTATCCAATCAGAAAGCAGAATGAGCCCTACATAAGTATCTCACTTGTGTTGCCAGTTTCAGTATTGAAATCCATTTGGTTTGAACCTAAAAGGACACTCTCTGACCTGAATGGTCACTACCTAAACTCAAGCACCTGCAGCTGATCATGGATCAGTGCTAGTGCAGCCTCTGCAGCTCAGTGAGGGAATTCTGGAGGTTCTGAGCTTTCACATAAGACATGTCCATGTTTTTAAAACCATAAGCTTGCAGACTATATATAGTTCCTTTAAATCAGGTCAGGTGGGATTTTAACAAACCTCAAGTAAATACAACGATTTATTGAGAAAATACATTCTGATATATGGAGGAATAAATGGACTTGATTTGTTTCATTTACCAAAATTTGTCATTTGTTTCCTTAGGGCATCAATGGGATCCTGGCTGATGAGATGGGGCTTGGGAAGACTGTTCAAAGTATTGCACTTTTGGCACATTTGGCAGAGGTCAGCTACAACTCCATACTATTACATGTTTTATTCCAAGTATTATTATTATACAGATTATTTATTACATTGTCTTTGCCATGACTCAAAAATTTTTTTACATGGTCATTATATTTGGACCTGTAATTTTCGCGCAGCTTTTTGTAGCTTTAGCTTTTTAGCTCTTAGACAAACCTTAATGTTCCACAAGGGAAATTATTTAGACATATCACAATATAATGGTGAATGGTCACATTTTTATGTAGAGCTTTTCCACCTTCAAGGCACTCAAAATGCTTTAATAATAATAATAATAATAATAATAATAATAATAATAATGATAATAACTCATAGCAACTATATAAATAGCAATAACAAATACTGAGGGACTGGTGTCAAATAAGGAATAAGTATTGTATATGTACAAGAAAAATAAAATATAGAAATATAGTAAATATATTTCAGCTACTGTATGCACTGTTTATCCTTATGACTTTTGTATAAAGATTAAATAGTAATTGCCACATGGTTATCTATTACATTAAGAGTTGTACTGTTGTATGGAGTGTGGTATGAATGTAGTCCTGTATCAGCTCTCACAGGAAAGCTTCTCTCATGGAGTTTCTTTCTGTTTTATTTTATTTTTCATTCCAACACCTGCTGTAGCGACTGACAATTTATTTATTTTCTATTTTCCAAAAGCGAGACAACATCTGGGGCCCGTTCCTGATCATCTCTCCGGCCTCAACGCTCAACAACTGGCACCAGGAGTTCTCACGATTTGTTCCCAAATTCAAGGTGAACATTTTTTATACTTTTTATAATAAAAGTATAAAAATAGTTTAATTTAAATTACTTGTATTTAAATTTGCAAACCTGGTTGAATCCATAGTGATGTAGCTTTGTGACCACAAAAATCTATCTACATTATGAACTAAACTATGAACTAATCTATGAACTAAACCAGAGTCTAAACTAGGACTAAACCACCAGTGTGATTCTTTGAGATTACTGTAATTATTATTAGTTTTCTTGTGTTACATTTTTAGCTGATATATATGACATGTGTTTTTGTTTTTTTTTAGTTGACTAAATAAAAAAAAAAAAAAAAAAAAAATATATAATATATATATATATATATATATATATATATATATATATATATATATATATAACAAAAAACAGTCTGTAGGAGGCACTATCAAACTGTTTAGAATACTACTGTCAAGTTCATTGTAAAATCCCCTTATATATGTGTTCCTTTATAACTCACTTCTTCCTGTAGACACACACGTAGCTGTATTTTCCCTATTCTCACCTCATTCGTCAGGGTTAATGAGGTGTGAAAAGAGTCTATTTCACCATTTAAGATTAGCTTCCTGGCCTCTCAAAGCAACACTGATAGAAAACAATGGAATATTAAGCCTGTCAACTGATGTAATGCATCTAAATCATTTCACATTATATACAATAACAAATGAGCTGTTGCATATTTGTGATTACTCATCCAACTGTGAGTAAGTCCACAAGTGACAACAGCTTTATGTAGACAGTATGAAATGATCTGAACATTTGTGTATCTTGCAACGCTCCTTCAAACATGATTTAGTTTGTCTCAGTTTTGTGTCTATTCTTTGAAAATACCAGATTTGTTTTGTATTATTTTGTCCTCCCAATTACATTAAATGGGCTGAACCTGATTTTTCAGCATCATTGAGTGTTTAGAGAAACGCTTTACAAATAACATGTATTATTATTATTTTCCCATGTAATAAAGTAGAATTAATTTTGCCCCAGTACAGATATATTGTAAAAGTTGCTGTTAGGGTTGAAATGAGAGCTCTGTGTACTTTCTGTATCTAATAATAGAGCACATTGTCCTCTGTGAACCAGAAAGTATAGCTGTTACCATGCTAGTTGTTGTTGTTAGTATTACAGGGATGACAAAGGTGTGGAAAGAGTTTATAACTCATTGCGGTAAAGAATTAGGATACTCAAAATACAAAATTGATTACAATTACAATTGAAATTAATTACAGTTTTACACATTTGAAACTATTAGTCAGATGTTATGTCCAAGAAGTTACTATTACAGTTACTTTTACTAAAGTAGTAGTTTCACCCAACTCTTAAAGGTATGGACCCTCACATAAACAGCCTAATAATAAAGGGTTACTCAAACATGTGTGAATGAAAGAAACCACTACTCCAGGTATATTTTGATGAGGTAACAACATTATAACATGGCTTAAAGCTCACAAGAATCAATTTTGTGTTATAGAAGACCCTTAACTCTTAATTAAGTAATAATATAGCTTATATTTTCTTTCTCTCACAGGTGTTGCCTTACTGGGGAAATCCACATGATCGCAAAGTTATCCGAAAGTTCTGGAGTCAAGTAAGCAGCATATAACTATGTCTTTGCAGCACTAAACATGAGTGGTTTCTAAATAATATATTATAACACTGCATCAAATCGAAACCAGTATCAAAACTAGATACTCATTTGAGAAGGTATCAATACAAAAAAAGGTCACATTTACAAGAAAGAAATAAACCTTTCCTGATTAGGTTTAGAATGATCTTGAGCTGTATCAGAGCAAGTATAAGAGCACATTATATTATTATACACATGGACCACTATGGAACCTACCTGGATGACTGAAGGATTACCGTACACAGATATAAGACCACATGGTGATATAAAAGAATGTACTACCATTTAATGTTAAAAAAATCACATTCTATTGTCTAAATTAATGCATATTTTTATGATCATAATGGTATCAAAATCAGTACTGAGTATCAAGTCTATTTCTTAGTAACAAAATCAAGTTTGAACTGTTTTAATTCTAGACTATATACTATTATAATCCATGTTTCTATATCTTCCACCTCTATTTGCAATTTGCTATTTCAGAAAACCCTGTACACCCAGAATGCCCCCTTCCATGTGGTGATCACCAGTTACCAGCTCGTGGTTCAGGATGTGAAGTACTTCCAGAGGGTCAAATGGCAGTATATGGTTTTAGATGAAGCCCAGGCGCTCAAGAGCAGCTCCAGGTAAAGTCTCAACCATAGACTGTAGAAAGAAGTGGGCTAAGGGAGTGTGATGTCACCCATAGCGTTCGGCTTCAGTCAAATGAAGCTCACAAGGCTAGCAGTTACAGGAGTGAATCTGGAACTGAATTAGAATTTTATTAGGAATTTATTTATGGACAAAATAGTGAAATAAAAACACCAGGTTCATGCAGAGCGGGTTAATATGAACATTTTAAGATGAAAATGACGAGGCTCATAGCAACAGATACAGTGAAAAGAGCAACAGTTTTTCAGTGTAGGCAGTTAGAGCCTGAGTCATTGGATTCAAGGCTTAAAGTCTTTTTAACTGACAACAATCTATGGGGTTGAATAATGGCACAGTTTTCTGAAGCTATTCTATAATTTTCTCCCCAGTTTAAAAACAAATGAACAAATGAAATAAATGGCCACATATTATATTTAATCTTTTGTTCTGTTTTTTAGTGTCCGGTGGAAAATTCTTCTTCAGTTTCAGTGTCGGAACAGACTGCTGCTGACTGGGACTCCCATTCAGAACACTATGGCAGAGGTAAGTTATGGTGTGATCCAGAAGTGCTCCTCTGTGTTTTTAAAGTCAATTCACACTCACCAGATGCATTCTGATCAGTACTCAAATGTCTTCCTCTCTGCAGCTAACCAGTTTTGATTTTAGCAGCTATTGATGTTTTGGCATGATTCAAAGGTCCTATATTACACAAAATGGACTCTTCTAAGCCTTAAGCCATGTTAGAATTCCTTTACCTCATCAAAACATACCTAGAATTCATTCACATGTTTGTGTAACTCTTTATTATTAGTCTGTCTACATCTCCAAATGCTCTGTTTCACCTTGTGATGTCATGAAGATGTAGTTTTCAAGTTAACAACTACATTTTACCCTAACTAAGTAGAGATAGCCAGTTCCAGGGTTGAAATTATCCACATGATTCTATTGAAGGCTTTTGGACTTTAAAAACCTGTATTACCACATGACCTCACAAGGTGGAACAGTGTGTTTTTATTAGAATGTTAAACATATGTAAATGAAACAAAACACAACTCCAAGCATGTTTTTGATGAGGAATCAACATTATTACATAGAACAGAAAACAGCATAATATGGTCCTTTTAAACTTTGCGGATTCAGAAAAAATCCCAAGTATAAATTTTGCATTACAAACCTGTTTTTAATCTTGTTTCTAGCAATATTGAGCTTTCTCATGTAGCAACTTCTGTCCCTGTCCTTTTCTGTTCATACATGTTAAATACAGGTTAAATAGTTTGTAGTTCCCACATGCCTGGTTTGTGTTGACAGTTTGATGTTGTTTTTACAGTTATGGGCCCTGCTGCACTTTATCATGCCCACTCTGTTCGATTCCCATGAAGAGTTCAATGAGTGGTTCTCCAAAGACATCGAGAGCCACGCTGAAAACAAGTCTACCATTGACGAAAGTGAGCATGGGAGAAAAAGTTCAAATTTCTGAAATCTTAAAGTATTGTAGTATGGAATATGTATGAAAATGAAAGATATGTTTTAGAGCTAATATTACAACTTCAAGTATTTTGTCTATAACAAAACTAAATAAAATAAAATAAATACATTTAAAAATGCTGTAAAGACCAAATTACAAATAAGATAAGCTTGCTGGGTAATTTTTCAAATAAGGGTATTCTTTATATATTTTAATAGTTAATTTTACAGTCCATTCACTGATACTTAAACCATGATTTTTGCGGGCATGTTTTAGCACATTTCTGATGGTCTGAATATTATTATCAGGGCAAGAATAAAATATTTTTAAATAAATTTAACTTTTTTATTTCAGACCAACTGTCCCGTCTACACATGATCCTGAAGCCGTTTATGCTGCGAAGGATTAAAAAAGATGTGGAGAATGAGCTCTCGGACAAGGTAAATACAATAATTACAATATTTTAAGAACTAAAAACTAAAACTATACTGGCTGACAATTGAATCTATTGTTTTATAGATCAAAAATGTATTATTTGGTTTAACGGTGTACTGTAAACTGTAACTGTCTTGGTGGATAGCTTAACACCTGCTTGACTCCGTGGAGATGTTAGTCAACTGCCTGGAATATTCCGCAGTATGGCATTAAACTATTAGATGAAACTATCTCCATGGAGACTAGCAGTGACACCCACCAGGCCAAATTGCAGGTCAGATCTGTGAATAGACAACCCTTCTCACATGTAGACTGCATGTCTTTCCAAGTTAACTTTGAACAAATAAAAGACCTTAAATGGAATAAATGCAAGAATACGTTACTACCATACTGTGGAACATTCCAGACAAAACAATACTATCTCCATGAGGTAAGCTGTTGGTGGGTCCTCATACAGAAATGCTACATAGTGCACTGTTAAAATGTGCAGTTATTCTTTTATACTTTTGAATCACCATCAATCATGCAGCCACTACATCACAGTAATAAAGGTGAGGTTGTTGAGGTGTTTTGCCCAAGGACTCCACAACACTGCCACACACAGGTCGGATTGAACCGGCAACCATTTATCTCTGTCTCTCAGTGCTTAATGTTTTCAGTGTTATTCAAACTTGGCCTCAGTCTCATCCATCTCCACTGACACAGAGGTGAAGTAAGAAAGTGAGTGATGAGTGCGTAGACAGACACAGCCTCTGGCAAATGTCTTCTCTGAAACACGCGTTCAGTCTTTCACCTTCACCATTTTTGGTTGACTTTAGTTGTCTAATACTACATGACGTTTTGTAACTAGAAGCAAAATGAATGAATGAATTAATTGATGCAAGCGTGCACAACTTTCTGGAGCTGGCACGTAACCTGCTTGATTCCATGAAAATAGAAAGCGAAAACCGTACTTCAGAACATTGTCCATGGACATAGATGAGTCATTTGGTGGAACTGCATAGCCAAAGAAACATTTCCATGGAAACAAGCAGCAGGCCAGGCCAACATTCAAGCCCGCTCAGTGTAAGGACAACTTTTTTTGTACATGTTTCAGTACAATAAAAATGTCCGTAATGAAAATAAAACAACACTGCTTTTACATTTCGTTGGCTAAAATGCTATGTAGTAAATCACGATATTGTTAAAATGGACAGATTGTGTAATATGAGACATTTTAACCAGTCCTTTAAGGTATCCAAACTGGACTCTTGTGATGTTTAAGCCATGTTATAATGTTGTTACCTCATCAAAATCATCTCCAGAGTTGTGTTCTGTTTCATTCACACACATTTGCATAGTCCTGGTTAATTAGTCTGTCCATAAAGCTGTAAATACTGTGTTCTACCTTGTGGTGTCATGAAGCGGTAGTTTTCAAGTTAACAGCTACCTTTTACCTATTGTTCAGTAGAGATTGGCAATTTCGGGGCTGAAATTATCAAAAGGATTCTAATGAAGGTGTGTGGAGTTTATCACCACACGACATCACAAGGAGGAGCAGAGTATTTTCTGTTTGAGAGAAGAAATCAGCCTAGGCAGCATATGCAGGGTTTGTGTGTTAAACATGTGTAAATTAAACAAAACACAACTCCACGTATGTTTTTGATGAGGAAACAACATTATACAAACAGATCAGAAAAGAGCATAATATTTATTTCAGACATCTTGATGAAATCTCTTTTTTTTCAGATTGAGATCCTGACATACTGCCAGTTGACCACACGGCAGAGGCTCCTGTACAAAGCTCTTAGAAATAAGATCTCTATTGAGGATCTGCTGCAGTCGTCCATGGGAACTGCGCAACAGGCTCACAGCACCACATCCTCACTCATGAACCTCGTCATGCAGTTCAGGAAGGTACTACGTTCACCTATGAGGATAATGTTTTAATCTGTCTATTGGATAACACTTGACATAGAGAGCTGATCTGAATGCTCTGGAAGAATTTGTCTTTTTACTGTCAGATGGCAGATTTGTTGACCTGGTTTATGATTAATATTTTTGTTTTGTCAATGTGCGAAAGCTAACTCTCCATTAAATATCCATATAACACTAAAATGTTTTATTTTCCCTCAGGTGTGTAACCATCCCGACCTGTTTGAGCGTCAGGACACTCGGTCTCCGTTTCACATGTCGCTCAAACCTTTTTTAATGTCAAAGTTTCTGTACCGCAACGGCCTCTTGCACAACCATACGCAAGGAACCAACAAGTGAGTTTATAATATAATTCACACATAGGCCTGTCATGATAATTACTATATGAAGAGTTCAACAGAGAAAAAGATTATCTCTGCTTTGAAAAATTGCCAAAATGTTTTTTTCTTTTTTCTTCTACAGATATTATAACTGACAATAATGTATAGTGGATTTTATCAAGTTGGGATGGAATTATATTTTGCTGGCAGTAAAATACATTTGGCATTTGAAAATATTACTATACTAAGAGCTGCAAGCCTGATGACTTTTTCACATGGCACTTATCTGTTTTTGCAAATTAACTCTTAATTAAAATTTATCATTCAGTATATAAAACAATAATATAATATATAATTTTGGGGCTCAGTATTTATTATGTGTACAATTTCTTTGCAATAGTGGGGAGATTTTTGCCATTTTTTTGTAATACAGCTAGATTTGAGCTGTAGAAAAAAAAAAATATATATATATATAATATATATATAATATATATATATATATATATATATTTTTTCCTACAGCTCAAATCTAGCTGTATTACAAAAAAATGGCAAATATATATATAATTAGTGTATAGTGTTTAGTGTTTTCTGTTTGAACAAAATATGCAGGGTTTGTTTGTTAAACAGGTCAGTAACTCTAGGTATGATTTTGATGAGGAAACAACATTATAACGTAGAGTGTGTATACATGCACATCAGTAACCCGGTTATGATCGGGTTTTTTGAGTATCCCGGTTTCTTGATGGTGCATGTATACGCAGTAACCCGAATACTGACATAACCGGGATATGGCTAATAACCGGGTTATTGATGTGCATGTATACGCACTCATAGATTAGAAAACAGTGTAATATGGAATCTTTACTCTGCATGACTTCTCTCTACAGTATTTTTCTAACTAATAATAACATTTCTAATATACATTTGAAATTGCAATAATAAATAGCACAATTATTAAGATATTTTCTCACCAGTACCTCATTAGCTCATTTCAAAGTTTTCCAAGATAAACCATTTAACTGTGAGACTTCTTCACTGAATGACAGTTAAAAATGCAGTCATATGAGTTTTCTGTTTATTTGGGATTCGATGAAGAGATCTGCCCTAAATGATCACTGTTAATGGGTGGACTGGAGCCCCCTAGAGATGTATTACAGTATTTTCATTATGATGTCATTGTCTTTTCACAGAATCCTCCAAGTGCTGCTGTCTCCCTTCTCGCCTCACCACATCCAGCAATCTTTATTTCACAGGAAAGGTAAAAAGTCTGATTTTATTAATGTGAAAAACATACTTTATATCTTTTTTGGTGGAGCATAGGGGGTGTCAAAAAATCAGATACTAATTAACTAATGAATAGATGAACAAGTATCGGTACTAAAAAAGACCCATTCATAGGACAGAAATGAATGTTTCCTGAATAGCTTTAGAATGATCTTGAGCTGTATCAGTATAATAGTACATAAATCACTATGGAACATACCTGGATAACTGGGAGATTACACAGATATTAGGCCCCATGGTAATATAAAAGAAAGTGATATGGTTTAATGTTGAAAATCACATTCTATTGCCTAAAGAACAAAGTTTGAAATGTTATTATCATGACGCTAGTGGAGCAGCTGCCATTTGCTGCTTGTTTCCATGACCTTAACCTCCAGATGATATTGCTTTGCCTGAAATGTTCCACAGTATGGCATTTAGTTTATCAATCTCCATGGAGACAAGCAATAGATACCACCAGAGCAAGTATCATTTGCATCTTTTAAAGGTGCTGTGCCTGATTTTTACTGTCTTAAAAAGATGTAAAAAACCCCAAACCAAAACAGTTTGCTGTGGTCCAAAGTTATTCCTCATGTACCTCATGCGTTCTGAACTTCCTATTTATTCACTACAATGAGTTTTAAGTGCTTTTCACTGCTTTGAGAGGTTCCCTGACCAAGTATTTTTTCAACTTTTAGAACAACAAGATATTTATGAAGTCAAACCTAACTCAAACCAGCCTTAATTAACTCAATTTAAGCACTTTTTTATTTACGTAAGATTGTTGTTTTATTTGCATTTACATTGCAAAAAATATACATCTTATTAATATTGCTCAAATCCAGATTCATGGTTTCAGTAATGCAGCTGGCTAGGATTTATTCACCAATTAAACAAATAATGGCTTAGTTACTTTCCTTTCCTGCCTTATTTTAATACGTCTTTATTTCAAAGCAGCAGATAATTGAATAACATTTTAACATTTTAAACATGAAGGTATGTATTTAGCAGTGAAAGTTAATATAGTTTGTAGATGGTGTTTGCTCTATTGAATGGCTTAATTGAATATTGTTGATTTATTGTGTGTCAATTTTTTTTTAGAAGTAAAAGTAGAAGGCCCCAGCGAGAATTGAACTCGCGACCCCTGGTTTACAAGACCAGTGCTCTAACCACTGAGCTATAGGGCCTCACCTGTTGACCTTTATCCTACCGTACCTATTTATAATAGACACACCTATTCAAATGCTGTAAAGGTCACACCCTTTAGTCGTCAGACTGGAGCAGGGCTGGTTTACATGTTGTTTCTTTGATGATTATCTGTCTTTAAACTTTACAGAAATCTCATGCATTTATTTTTAAAGGCCCATATTATGGTATTTTCTATGTTATAATGTTGTTTCCTCATCACTAACATACCTGAAAATTGTGTTTTGTTTCATTCGCACATGTTTAACACACACCCTGCATATTTAGTTTGTCACTAAAACAGAAAACACTAGGTTCCACCTTTTGATGTCATGGGGTAATACAGGAAGTGCTCAGCCCTGGAATTTCCCATTTCAAACATACAGTAAAAGGTAACGGTTAACTAAACTACTGCTTCATGACATCACAAATTGGAGCAAAGCATTTTGAGCTTTGGAGATGTAGAAATAAACATATGTGAATGAAACAAAGCAAGTCTGGGTATGTTTTGGATGAGGTAACAACATTTTAACATGGCTAAAAACTCACAAGAATCAATTTTATGTAATATAGGACCTTTTTAATGTTAATGTTAATATTTTCAGGTGAGGATGAAGGCAGCTGCTTCTCATTCCTGCGTTTCATCGATGTGTCTCCAGCCGAAATGTCCAATCTCATGCTACAAGGCATTTTAGTCAGGTTAGCTCCATACACACTCCTGTTGTTTATTTTATTTTTTGTACTGAGTGACTGCGTGATGACTGCTTGTATTTTTTGTATTTTCTGTTTTTTTTTTTTTTTTTGTTTCTTTAGGCTCCTTTCAACTCCTTAATGCATGAATCAAAAGTTACACTTGTTACCTCTAAACTATGTTTTTACTTGCTATTACTTTTTCTTATAGTTTTTAAACTATTAATTAAAATAGAATCAAACACTGATTTCAATTGTAAAGGCAAGGCAAGTTTATTTGTATAGCACAATTTGTACACAAAGTAATTCAAAGTGCTTTACAGAATAAGAAATACATTAAAATCATAATAAAAACAAATCAAAACATAAATAATCATGAAGATTAAAATAAAAAAAGAGAGACATAAATTGGAGAGAAGAGTGCGGAATGAAAACCTTTCAGTTATATGCACAGTTAAACAGAAATGTTTTGAGCCTGGATTTAAACAGCGTCACAGAAGAGTCTGTCTCACATGTTCAGGAAGACTGTTCCAGGTTTTAGCTGCATGAACCTGAAACGCTGACTCCCCTTGTTTAGTCGTGACTCTGGGCACCAGCAGGAGGCCGGTCCCTGAGGTCCTCAGAGTGCGAGATGGTTCATATGACACTAACATGTCACAGATGGACTTTGGTGCTCGGACATGGAGAGACTTGTTCACAAGCAGAGCTGCTTTTAAGTCTATTCTCTGAGGCACAGGAAGCCAGTGTAGAGACCTGAGCACAGGACTTATGTGCTCGTACTTCCTAGTTCGAGTGAGGACCCGAGCTGCAGCGTTCTGGATGTTCTGCAGTGCCTCAGCTCGTTTGGAGAGACCAGTGAGCAGACCATTACAGTATCTAACCTACTGGAGACAAACGCATGGATAAGTTTCTCCAAGTCTGCTTTAGACAGTAAACCTTTAATTTTTGCTATGTTTTTTAGATGGTAAAAGGCTGCAGATGTTATTGATTTGATGTGGCTGTTAAAGTTCAAGTCTGAGTCCATTATTACCCCGAGATTTCTTTCCTGATTTGAAGGTTTTAGAGAGAGAGACTGAAGGTGACTGCTGACACTGTCCCTTTGTTTCTGTGGACCAAACACTATGACTTCAGTCTTGTTAGAGTTTAGCTGGAGAAAGTTGTTTTGCATCCACACACTGATCTGTTGGATGCAATGACCAAGTGAGTCCACTGGTCCATAGTCTCCTGCTGCCAGAGAGACGTAGATCTGAGTGTCATCTGCATAATTGTGGTAGGACACGTTATTGCTGCTTATTAACTGGCCTAATGGCAGCATGTAGAAATTGAACAACAGGGGGCCCAGGATTGACCCCTGAGGCACCCCACAGGTCAGGGCCATGTGATCTGAGACACAGTTTCCAATTTCAACAAAATACTTCCTGTCTTCTAGATAGGACTTGAACCAGTTTAGTACAGTACCAGAGATGCCCACCGAGTCCTCTAGTCTCTGTAAGAGGATCCCATGATCGACAGTGTCAAAAGCAGCATTCAGATCTAACAGGATCAAGACTGAGACTTTGCCTGCATCAGTGTTCAGGCGGATGTCATTTGTCAACTTGATAAGAGCAGTCTCAGTGCTGTGGAGGCTCTAAAACCTGACTGGAAAACATCAAAGGAGTTGTTCATTTGGAGAAAGTTCGTAAGCTGTTGGTAAACAGCTTTTTCAAGGACTTTGCCAAAAAACATCAGATTTGAGATGGTTCGGAAATTGTTCAGTACTGTGGCATCAAGACTGCTCTTCTTTAGGAGAGGCTTAATGACCGCAGTTTTCAACGCGTTTGGGAATGTTCCAGATTGAAGTGACATGTTAACTATGTGAGTGAGTGGTGAAAGTAAACTGTTGAGGATGGACTTTAGAAATCTAGTGGGTAACATGTCCAGGCAGCAAGTAGATGAACTCAGACTGGTAACGATCTCTAAAACAGTTTTGTCAGTTACAGGTGCAAAGTGATTCACCTCTAAGTGTCTCTGTGGCTGCATGCTTGTTATTTGTGTTGTGGAATTGATGGCATTTTTGATGCCCTGAACTTTGTCATTAAAGAAAACTGCAAACTCATTACATTTAGATGTGGAAATTAGTTCTAGTGGCAGTGGAGCTGGAGGGTTTGTTAATGTAAAGGGACCCCCCTACTGGATACCTCACTCTGCACTTGCACATGGATTTAAACAACACCTTTTCAGAAGCATGTGATCTATACTAGTGTTTATGGTCTTGTTTAGATAAAAGGTGAGAGTGAGTCACCCAGAAAAAAATCGGTTGGCGAATGCTAGCTAGCCTGTGACTGTAGTTTCTGTAATTTCTGATAATACTGAGACTGCTTTATGCCACTGACACAATAACAATAAAGCAAGATAATCTCAGTAAACCATTTTAAATAGACAGTGTCATTTAAAGGCCTGAGCTGTACTAAATAAATAACAGAATGAAGTAATAACTAGCCAAGTCACTTATTCTACTTTTCACAGCCCAAATCTTATTGTATTACAACAAAAAATACCCCAATTCTTCCCACAAACACACAGAATTGGACACACAATCAATTTTAAGACCCACAATAGATTCCAGTTCCAGTATTTATATACTGAACGATAAATCAGTATCGTAATTACTGTAACAGGCCTACAGACAGGTCAAAACCTCCATTTTAAAATCATGTTAAAAATCCCTTTCTCTCCTCTCTTGCAGATGGTTAGCTCTTTTCCTGTCTCTGAAATCTGCATACCGGCTCTACTACCAGCGCCTGTTTGAGGAGAAGGAGCTGAGTGGAGAAAGCGGAGACCCAGGGACCAGTTCACAAATGCTAAAATGTCTGAACCGGAGAGACCTGATTCTGTGGATGAATAAACCCGCGACTTTCCCAAACACCAGCTGCAGCCCCATCCTCCAGGTGAGAAACTAAACATGCAAACGAATAAACAACGTGCTTATTCTCATTATAAAATGTACCACAGGGATAAAAGTAGAAGAGATAATGATGTATTGATAAAAAATATATATATGTTGAATTTAGAATATTTTTTGTTTTAAGTTGGTGGCTATATTTACCTTTTTTAAACAGAATATTTCACCTGGTTCAGTATTGGAGTATTTTTATAATATCTGCCAGTGTAAAAGACTCAACAAAAGTTTTGGAGTGAAAACATGCTGGCATTCATCTAGTGACCAGAAATGGAAAAAGCCACTTTGGTGTTCAACTTAGTATTATTATTTTTTCCCCCAAAACTAGTAAGAGTTATTTCTAAGGTCCTATATTACTTTTCTATTTTATGATTTACGTTATAATGTTGTTCCCTCATCACAAACATATCTGAAGTTGTGTTTTGTTTTATTCACAGATGTTTAACACACAAATCCTGCATATTGAGTTCTTCGCTAAAAAAAAAAACCCAAAAAAACTTGTGATGTCATGTTGTAATATGGGAAGTGCTCCACTGTGTTTTTAAACCTCATCCACCTTCATGAGAATAATTTAGATGTTAACAGATATGAATTGCCAATCTCTACTGAACTAAAGGAAAATGATGGCTGTTAACTTAAACTACCACTACATGACATCACAAGGTGGAGCATTTTGAGGTTTGGAGATTTAGACAGACTGATATTTAAGAATTACTCGAATATGTGTGAATGAAACAAAACACAAGGTATTTTTAGGTTTTTCAGAAGGTAACATGATTTAAAGCTCACAAAAGTCAACTTTGCTAATATAGGACCTTTAATGAAATATAGTTTTTACAGTGTAGTTGCTGTAATTCCTTAACCAAAAGATGGTGCTGTAGATCTACCATTCTTTTATGTCAACTTTATATTATTAAAAAAATATTATCTTAATATTTTAGCCTATATTTGTACACATGGTTATTAACAGTAATGCCATTTATCTTCAGGTTCAATACAGTGGAGAAATATCTACATTACATCTATAAAAATAAGTTAAATTCAGAATATGTTTCTATTTTTTGTAAGAGGCAGGGTTTGAGTGGTTCTCATGCATCTTTTTCTGTTTTATAGACAAAAGGGTAATTTATTTGACAATTTTTTTCTCAATTTTGAAAGCATGACTAATAAAGTGTAGTAATTATCCAATTACTATATATTCACTGTATTTTCACTTTTGTACTTGATTATGTAATGTTTGGCTAATGTGTGAAAATGTGTTTCAGGTCTTGGTGTCACAGGGTTTTGTCCCAGTTTAATCCTGTTTTAGTCCTGCTTTAGCTCTAGTTTAGCTCTGGTTTAGCCTTGGTTTAGCCTTGGTTTCATCCTGGTTTAATCCCATATTCACTGTATTTGTTTCAGGACTTGGTTTTCACAGCCTCCTCTCCAGGTCTGGTGGGTCACTCAGATGTTGAGATCCACAGTCGCTCCTCCTCCTCTTTCTCTCTGAGGCAGTGTCTGCCCTCTCTGCCCCCAAAGTTCCTCCTCACTGCTACACCCAGGGTAACTTTCAGTTTTGTTTAATGTGTTTTTTAAATCTCATATATAACTGTTACAATGGCAACATTTGAAGTTTAGGGCACTTTCACAATGGGTCTTGTTTAGTTCTAGTTTTGTTCTGGTTTAAGTCTGGTTTAGACTTAGTTTAATCCTGATTTAATTCTGGTTTATTCCTGGTTTATCTTGAATTTAAATCAATTTAATCCTGGTTTAATCCTGGTTTAGTCCTGATTACCCAACTCTACATATTTTTGAAAGGAGGTAATCTTGGTGAGGTTTATTTTTTATTCTGTACCCTTTTCTAATTTAGGCTCTTCTTATTTTAAAGTATTATTAATGGTTTCCTAGGTGACAGCCGTTCCCATGGAAAGGTATTGTAATGACCGCAGTGCTGAGTATGATTGGCGGGTGACGCGAAACGGAGGCGGGACCATCTACAGGGACTGCTTCCTGTACGGCTCTCCAGAACTGGCCTCTGATTGGATCACGAGAGCTACTTCCTTCTACCTACAGTCCCCCGGGGGCGTCATGGCGATTAACCCACGACATGGGTGGTCCTACATTCGTATACCAGGTAAGGCGAATATAATGCATTCATGATTACCATCTTTTCATGTTCAGTCTATGGTCTGTATAAACTGACTTGTATTTTTCTCGTATGGCATATTCTGGTTTTGGTTGGTTAAACTCCAAATGGTTATAACACTGATAAAGGGAAAGTGCTGTTTAATAGTAATTATTTTTTAAAAACATTGTTCCCTCATCAAAAAAACATGCTTATTTCATTCTCTACTTTTTTTTTCTTAATCAGTGATACAAGCACTGTGTGCAAATGAAAAAAAATCTGCTGCTGGCTAGCGTGATCTGTAGCTATCCATCAGAGGTGCCGACAGTTCTTTGTTGTGATGATTTATAGATTATAAATATATAAGACACAAGCACAATAGGTCCTCTTTAAGTAGAAATTGCTGTTTAACTTTAACTTAAAACAAAATCCATAGTTGTAAAGCCATACATTGCGACTGCCTTTAATTTGTATTTGTGGTGCTGTGAGACGTGAGAAAAGCTAAGTAAACAGGAAACTACTTTTTGCAATTACACCACATTTTAACATGTCATGAATGAAAAATTATGCTACACACGCTTTATGCACTACCTGACATTGCTCTGACTTGCTCCTTTTGGCCATGAGTTTGTTGTTTTAATCTGGAGCCGTGGGAGAGTCACAGTAAGTTTAACCCCGGACACATCAGCTTCCTCTGGGCCTGCCAAAACACTGCCCCCTTGCCCCTGTCGTGCTCCTGCCTGCTCCTGTCACTGCTCCTGTCTCTGCTCCTGTCTATCCCTGCCTGCTCCTGTCACTAAACACCTGCTCCTACTTGCTGATAAATAACCTTAAACCACCTAGGTTGTCAAGAATTTTGGTATTTGTTTAGACTGTGCAATTAAGACATACTATGGAAAAAGCTTTTTAGTGAGCTTTCCTTTTGTTCAGTAGAAATTGGCATTTCCAGGGCTGAAATTTATACAAATGATTCTACTTAAGGTGTATGGAGTTTAAAAATACAGTGAAGCACTTTCTGTATTACCACATGACATCACAAGGTGAAAGAGATTGTTTTCTGTTTGAGAGAAGAACTTGGCCTTTTTTGTGTGAATGAAACAATACACAACTCAAGATATGTTTTAATGAGGAAACAACAATATACCAGTTCAGAAAATAGCGGGACCTTTAAGGAGTGGAAATGGTATTAGCTCAAAATTGTCAAAGCTGGCAGTATTTGATATTGTGTTCTTGAGCAAGACACCTCACAATACCTGTCTATATAAACATGCTACTATGACTGATTTACAGCAGTCAGAAAGACTTTTGGAAATGAATGGCAATCCAGATTCTCATAAAATAACTTAATGAATGCTGGCGGAGCATTCGAAGACCTGAGGGAGCGTAGGATATTTGAATTGTAGTTGTTTTTTCCTCCTCTGTTTCCTAATTCCTTTAGATTAGATTACCCAGGCGATACAGAGCTGTACTCACGCCACCGCGATTAAAACAAACATTCAGTCAAAGCATTTGTTCTGTTAAAGGCGGAGAGAGGGGGAGGGAGAGGGAGAGCGTAAAGGGAGAAAGAGGAGAGAGAGTGAGAAAGAGAGAGGGTAAAAGACTCTAGTGAAAATAGAGGAGAGAGAGGGTGAAAGATGGAGAGGAGGGAGAGTAGAAGAGAGAGAGAAAGAGAGGGAAAGAGATGGCTTAATAGGAGATAGTAAAGAGGTGGAGGGAGTGAGTAGAGGCAGAAAGAGGAGAGGTGGGGGAGAGAGGAAGGCAAGATGATATGGCAAAAATGGGAAAGAAAGTAAAGGAGAGGAGAGAAGGTGAGAGAAGAAGGGAGACGGAAGATACTGAGAGAGAGAGAGATGGAGAGGGGGAGAGCGAGGGAGAGAGACGTAGAGGGTGTGAGGGAAGACGGAAATATTCAGTCATAATATTTGTTCTTGAAAAGGGGGGAGAGAGAGGAGAAAGGTGAAAGGGGGTGAGAGAAAGCTGAAGAGATATCTGAAAAGAGGGATGAGAGAGAAGTTGGTAAAGGAGAGTGAGACAGAGAGTTAAGAAGAGGGAGAGTGGTAAGATGAAGAGACACAAGAGAGAGACAGACAGAGAGAAAGAGAGTAAGGGGAGAAGGAAAGAAAAGTGGGACAAAGAGGAAGAGAGAGAGTAGAGACAGATTTAAGACGAAAGAGAGGACTTAGCTGGGAAACTTTGGTGGTGCTACTGTACATAACATGAGCCTAATATCACAGACCTTGATGTTTTAACAATGTGTTTTGGAGAATCGTGTCATGCATTTGGTAATTTCCTTCCTGCTCCGGCTGAGAAACGACAGAGCGATAGACGAAGAGAGAGACAGGGAGGGAGGGAGAAAGAAGGGGAGAGAGGGTGAGAAAGGGTGAGAGAAGGGCAGATAGGGTGGTCCTTTCTCTCCCTCTTCTCTGCTTCCGTCTCTCCCTTCCTCTTCCTCCTCCCTCCTCCTTCCTCTCTCCCCTCTCCTCTCTTCTCATCCATCCATCCCTCCTCTCTCCCAAAGAAATTGAGGCGACAAGAAGGAGGGTGGAGGAGGCTGCGTATCCCGTGGCAACGAGCGTGAGAAACTGAGGTGTACACTGTAAAAATCATATTTTTTGTATGGTTTAGATGCATTTATAACTAATTGCATAATATGGTTTTAAAAATGTAATAATACCATAAACTAGTTTAGTAATATAATTTTTTTTTTATTAATTAATTTATTTATTTTTGCAGTGTAGACTGTAAGGTGAAAGATTCTTGTACTGTAATACTTTTGTGAATGGAAAAGAGCTGAGAGGGGGAAACAGAAAAAGAGAAGTATATGGAGAAATAAAGGAGGAGAGAGGAGAGAGAGAGAGAGAGAGAGAGAAAATGAGGGAGAAGAGGGATAGGTGGGAGTAAAGTAGAGAAAGGAGGTGCAAAGGAGAGAGGGACAGGAGGAAGAGAGAGAGAGGAGGAGGAGAAGAGGAGGAGGAGGAGGAAGGGAGAGAGAAAAGCGGAAAGGGGTAAAGAGCAGGAGAGCCGGAAATAGAGGAGGAAGAGAGGAGGAGAGAGAGGGATAGTTGAAGAATATAGTTTGAGTGTGGAAGAATAGGAGGAGGAAATAGAGGGCGAAGGGAGAGCCAGGGAGAGATAAGGTGAGTAAGATTACGAGGAGAGGAGGACAGGGAGGAGGTAGGGAATCAGAGAGAGAGAGGTGGGGAGAGAGAAAGGGAGGAGGTAGAGAGGTGGAGAGAGGAGAGGAGATGAGAGAGAGTAAGAGAGGAGGAGAAAGGGAGAGACCTCTGAACAATGAGCAGCAGTGGCACTTCCTGACTTTGTAGAGACTTCACAGGAGCTCAGACTGTTCCCACAGACACCAACAAAACCTGCTCAGACCTCACTCTCTGTGGTTTCATAAACAAGAGATGAAAAATACAGTATAAAATACAGTATATAACCAAAACCTTTCCTCAAGTAAGTACTGTTCCTTCAGTTAAAATATTACTCAAGTAAGAATAAATGTATGCTGCTCGAAACGTATTCCGAATAGTTCAAGTATTCAAGTAACTGTAACTGCCAGTCCCAAACAATTAATGATAAGGTTCAAAAGTTATAGGCCCCCTCCCCTTCATCTGAAATTATGTCATCCTCAAATTCTAATGCAACCTAGTTATCGCTTCTAATTACAGACTCCCATTTTGTGGCTCAATCTATTCGTTTTCCGGAAACAGCAGTTCATTTTTAGGCCCCAAAACAATCAGTGTGAAATAGTAAAATTGCCTGTTGAAAGGGAAAACCTATTTGTGTAACATTCTTGGGTTGAATCTGAAATAGCTTTGGTTGCAGCTTGTGTGGCGGCGGCACAGTTACTTTAATTAAAGGAGTGTCTATGAAAAATGTATGCCATTTTCTGTAAAATGAAGAATTCAGCTTCATGATAATTTACCCTCCATATTATGTGACTACAGAGCCACGTCGCCCCGAGTGATGTGATGTTCGTGAATGATTTGTGTTTTGAATGGTTCCTTAAAGGTGCACTACGTAACTTTGCTGGTGGAGGTCCATCATCTGCTTGTTTCCTTGGAAATGTTACTGCTTTGCCTGGAATGTTCCATGGTATTACAATAAACACATCTATTTTTCTTCATTATGGGTGTTTCTATTGTGCAAAAATACAATAATTCTCTCATTAATAGGGTTGCCTCTCCACAGATCTGACTTGTAATGTAGCTTACAGTTGTTTCACTTTATATAGATATGTTTAATCTATGCCGTGGAACATTCTAGACAAAGAACTCCCCATGAAGATAAGAAGATGAGGCACCCTTCACTAGAAAAGTTACGCAGTGCACCTTTAATATGGTTGGATCAGGATCTTGTTTTTAACAGAACCAAATATTTTTATGGCATATGGCATCTTTGTAGTTAAATGAGTTCTCAGGCAAAGCAATTACATTTCCATGGAGACAAAAGCTGCGCAGTGTAACTGTTTTTTTTCTGTCTGAGAGTCTGCCACAAGTTATGGGACATGTCAATTCAACAATTAACAATATGATATACAGTAGTTATAAAAGTGTTGACCCCAGCAGTCTGTGGGAATTACACTAGTGCCTTCCTGCCCCTTCAAATGAAATCCGGCCAAATCACAGGATACACCCCACCTCTCTCCTCCCTCCTCCTCTCCCCCACCCTCCATGTCTCTCTCTCTCTCTACCTCCTCCTCTTTCCTCTCCTTTCTTTGCCTTCTCTCTCCTCCTCCTTTGTCCCCTTCTGCCCCTTCTCCTCTTTCTCTCTTTCTCCTCTCCCTCTTCTCTCCCTTTCTTCTCCTTCCTCTCTTCTCCTCCACCTGTTTCCCCTCTCTCCCCCTTCTCCTCCCTTGCTTCACCGTCTCTCTCTCTCTCTCTCTCTCTCTCTCCATCCTTCTCTCTCCTCCTCTCTTTCAGATATGAGGGCAAAAAACAACAGAAATGCCCAGTCTTTCCAACCACGCATACCCCGTCGCTCTGTGTATCCTTTTAAACTGGCAC